TGGGAAAGGAAAGGATTCTGATTTCAACCGTTGCGTATATTAGCTGCGACATATGAATCAAGATGCTATGACCGAAAATATTTGATTGACAGATGACCGTTGATATATGATTGGCCGAATTTCGGTGTTCAGGCTGACGTAGAACTAACTGGCCTGCAGAAGATAATGAGAAAAAACGCAGATTTTAAAACAGGATTTTTTTTTTTATAAAAATGTATATACGTGTTTAAGGCCAGAATGATTTGACATTTACATATGATTTCCCCTACGACTTTAAGAAAGAATTTGCAACACCGAGCTACAGCCACGTTGCAGCGTTGCCATAGCAATGACTGCTTTCCTTTTCCGTTGTAGGGAAGAAGCCGTCCCATTCTCGTTTATACCCCCTTACCTTCAATCAAGCTGGTTTCCACAGCTGCGAGTGAGACTTCTGGGAAGTGACAGTTGATAGTGAAGGGTTAATGCTGAGGGGGTGCAGCAATGTCCTGGAGTTCCTAGTAAAGATGAGGAAACCTTCACCCTCTAGATTCAATCCTCCATCAGAGAATCAGAAAACTGTCCGATCAGTTGAGCGTCAGAGCTAGCAGCTGTTAGCTTAGCCCATTCAGAGACCGATCGACCCTCTGAGGTCACAGAGGAGAGTTTTAAGGACTTAAATTAAGCAAATAGTCGGTCAAAGTGATGCCATGTTGCTTTATGGACGACTTAAAGAGAGCAATCAAGCTAGCAGTCATGTTTCTGGACTGTTGGATGTAACCTACTGTGACCAAACTTCCGTGATTTTTCGGTGACCGTCCCCGTTCTGGACCACCTGTCCTCGGCTAACGCTGTCCCCTGAAATGTCCCCGATTTTACCGTTTTATGAATGAGGGAGAAAATCTTGTGTGTACACTGTTAATATGGTACAAAGAGCGCGTGAGCATGCTGCGCACAGAAACAGCTGTCTGCTAGCTGATTAGCAGCTGTTAGCGTATAGATGAGGAGCAGAGCGCAACGCTTTTAAAACAGACCAGGAAGTTGGTTATCAGAACCGGTCTCAGCTGCCCGGTGTTATGCTGAGCGTGGTAATCGCTTCATTTGAGTTGAACTGGGCTGATCATTGTGATAAATGTTTGGTTTGTGTCCAGGTTGATAAACAAAAGTGCTTTGATGTGTTTTGTTTGACTAAAGATGAGGACAGTAAATGTAGCATAAACCGAGCTAATCAACAAACAGTCAGACAGACGATTGGCTGCAGCTGCAGGAGGAAAGAATCAAAAATAAAACAAAACAGAATGATGTAAAACTCCTTATAAGGAGCTAATCTGGTTCGGTGATTCTCCAGGGATCAACGAGCTTTAACCTAAAGATGTTTTTGAACTGATCAGTGACCTTTAGTTTATATCACCAGATAGTTATTTTAAGTAGAGTTCTAAGTTGTTTTGCTGTTTTTTTACACTTGATTTTTATTGCTTAAATATTAATAAATATAATAAATGGATGAAAGCATCACTGTCCTTGTTTCCTATTTTAATTTTCATTATATGTATTTATGTTCATCTACGAGCTGGAAACGTCCACAGATCAGATTGCAGAAATCTGCTCACCTTAATTTAACGGTACTGGAGATAACCCACGTCATATAGAGGCTAGCCAGAGGAAGGAAGCTTTTTGCTGCTAAACTGAGGAACCACCTCAGCAGAACCGAGTGGCTCTTAAGCTACGGTCAGACCGCGAGCAGTAGGAGCAGCATGAATGCGCCTCTTGCTTCATTTTTGATGCTTATACGAGTTTAGTTCTGACGCACGGCTGAAGCATCCTTGCTGCTCTGGCTGCGGAGCTACCTGATCCTTTCTTTGCCTGGAACAATGGCAGCTTTATTTGCTGTCATCCATCCATCCATCCATTTTCAGATACGCTGTCACTGGGAATCCCCAGCAGCAGCTGCCTTAGGCCCGCTCGCCTCTCCGGGGTTTTCCCCTCCTGTTGGTGGCGGCTGGAAGTAGATGTTAGCGTTTTTCAGGTCTGTGCTACAAACTGCAGGCAGCAGGATAATAAAAGCCAACATATTCTGCCGGCAGGTTTCTACATTTGAAGTTAATTTAGGCGTTAATAAACTGTTTCAGAGGAGTGATCATAGCGCTCTGCATCAGCAGTGCTGCGTCTGACTCCCTGCCAGCTCCCAGATCAGCTTCTCTCATTAGTTCATGCGGCGCGTCCAGCAGCTAAAGTTACATTTTTCCAACTCCAGCTGCTTCTGCTGCTTGCAGTCTGAACGTAGCTTAATGCTGAATGAGCTGCATCCATCACACAGACGACCGGCTCACTTATTCCCTGAGCTTTAGGAAATATGGATGAAGATTTAGCTTTCCCCGGTCTGACCCAATAAACATGGCTGACTGGAGTTCATCTTATTCTGTGGCCATTTTTTATTGGGACACCAGGGGGCGCTATACGTACCTCACCACAGACCTCTATAAGTGTAGTTCTGAATCCGGAGACATTAGGGTGATTAGATGGAGCGCTGAGGAGAACCGGAAATGATGTCACAGGATAAGGTGTGACACCAGTCCTGTTCCTTAGATGAGGGAGATGGATGATCATACAGAATGAGGATGATGCAAAAAAATAAAAATAAGCGCAAAGTCAATTAAACTGAAGTAATTAAGATTTGTTTATTAACTGATTAAAATGAAAGTGAGCTCCTCCTTTCTGAGGAACAGTTCTATGCTGAGCTGGAAAATCAACATTACTGGGCTGGACTCCAACTCCCAGAATTCATAGCCATTTTTAAATGCAGATAAACTAAAAGTTTCTCCTGTCTGGGTTCTGGTCTGGAGGCGTTCCTGAGATCTCCATGTTCTCAATCCTACCATCTGGTTCTGCTCTCCTGGATTAGTTCGGGATCCTAATTGTTCTCACTGATCTGTATTCATTCACTGGATTGCTGATTGCCTGAAAAAAGTGAAGCCATCGGCCGCCATATTGGTACTCCACACTCCCATGGAGACGCTCCTCTGGCAATTTAAGAGTCAGTGGAAGAACTAAGCAATAAATCCATCTATAGCCGATGGATCCTATAGTTTAGTCTGCAGACTAACATTAGTCTGGCTATCTCACACTGACTGAGTTAGCCATTGACATTGGGTCCAACGTTAGAAAATAGAGGAAATAGAAAGTAATTCACTGAAATGTCGGAATGTAGGAATTCTTTATTAACCCTTTAAAGCTCGATCCAAGAATAAAACAAAACAGAAAATTCATTTTTTTGGTTTGAAGTCCTTATTTGGCCTTTTAACAAAATATGTAAAAAGAAAAAACAGAAATACATTTTTGATATTAATATTTTATTACTATGCGATAAGTCTAGATTAATTTTTTGTGTAGTCTTCTACTGGCTGTTATCAGGTATATCTGATTGTGTACAATAGGATTTAGAGCAAAGTTTTTACCATTAAATTATGCAAAAGGTGTCAGACGCAAAACATTTCAGAAACCGTATCAAATACGATACATTCGGCATTATAGGGTTAAGTGGATGATGATGTCGTTTGGTTTCTCATTTGAAAAAGTCATGAGCTGAAATATTTTGCATGTTATATTGACGAAAAAAGCAACTCGAACATTTGACCCCAATATACATATAGATGCATTGTTTTTATTAATCAATGTAACGTGCAAAATATTTCTGCACGATACGTCATTTGTAATACACGTATATAACATGTGCATCATTAATTTAGCACTTTTGGCTCATCAGTATTATAAGTCTCCAGAGATGGTAAAAGTACTCACTTTCTGTACTTGAGTAAAAGTACAGATACTTGTGTTAAAAAATACTCTGGTAAAAGTGGAAGTACTGATTAAACTTCTTTACTCAAGTAAAAGTAACAAAGTACAGGCTTGTAAATTTACTTAAAGTATAAAAGTAAAAGTAGAAACCACTTTTTTCATGCCGTTGCCTACATTTTAAATGGATGTCTGCCAATAGGACTAGATCTCCGTTGTGTTCATTTTCAATCATCTCGTCGTCCATGCTACTATGCTAACGCCACCGCCACCAAGCTGCAATGATTTGCCGCCAATGAATACCGCCGAATCTGTCGATTCATCTTGTAGTGGTGCGTCAAATGCAACGTAGATTCCCATCCAATTAGATTGAATTTGGTATTGATGACGTGAAAAATAATAACGGTAACTCCATTGAAATGATTCAAAACTAAAGTAACGAGCCAATTTTTTAAAATGTAAGGAGTAGAAAGTACAGATATTTGTGTAAAAATGTAAGGAGTAGAAGTAAAAAGTCACCATAAAAATAAGTAGTAAAGTAAAGTAAAAATATCAGAAAAATCTACTTGAGTACAGTAACAAAGTATTTGTACTTCGTTACTTCCCATCTCTGGTCTCCATTAACAGATTTATTTGTATAATATGTTTTATTACATGATTTATAGACTTCATAATGACTCTGCAATGTGACGTCTATTTTATTTATTCTAAGTTAAAGTTAATCTACTGATGCTATAAACAGCCAGTCTGTGTCAAAGTGATGAATTTATCTTTATTTTAAGTCTTAATTCTCCCTGAAAATGAGAACATCATAGTTGTTTGATGCGTTAGCGCACAGATTGTTTACATTGGGACCGGTCTAACTAGGGAGTACCAATATGGCGGCTGGTAGCTTCACTTCAACCCCGTTCTACCAACGGGCAATCAGTGATTGTTCTGCAGGCGGAGCTCTGACCACAGGCGGCCATCTTGCTCCAGGCTGCATGGATCCAGTAAAGCACACCCACATCATCACACTTCCTCCTCCATGTTTAACCGCTGGTTTCTGTGATACCAGAAGAACTGCTTGACTGAACCGGCAGGTGAGGAACACCTGGTGGCAGAACCAGGTCTGGACCCGCCTCCATAGCCGCTCTGCAGCTTTGTGTTGTTCAGCTTCCTGAGCAGCAGATAAACGCCACATTCATGCAGAACAGAACCTTCTCCCTGTAGAACCGGGTTCAAACAATAAACAGGTTATCACAATAAACTTTATTTTTCCTTCTCAGTTATTAAGGTTTAACAAAAGGTTTCCTTAGAAACGACGATCCAGTCCAGTCTGGTTCTGAGCCGGTCCAGAGATGAACACATGATCCGGATTCTAAACGCTTCGTCCTTTAATCGGCTGAAATCAGTGAAGCAGAAGGTCAGCGGTCTGACGTCCTCCGGTTCCTGGTCCAAAAGGAAGCGAAGTCTGAACAGCTGAGGTCCATTTGGAGTAAAAAAAAAAAAAAAAGTCTATTTGTTCAGGTTTTCCAGCAGGATTTCAGCTCCTTTGTTGTTCTTGGTTCTTTGGAGCTCGGTGGAGATGGAGCGGAGCGCCTGCTTCACCTCGGCTGCCACCGATCGATCACAGCTGTTCAGGAGGCTGCAGAGAGAAACAAACAGACGTCACAGAAAACCCAGGAGAACCAGAACCTGACAGACCGGAACCAGGCTGGAAGAACTGGGAAAACTAAAGCTGGATCTGTGGAACGAACCGAACCGGCCGTCTGCCAACAAACTCCTTCTGGTCAGAACCGACCAGGAGCTTCAGAACCAAGGTTCTACTCCATGTTCTTTAAGCTGCATTCTATCACACAGGTCAAGTTGTACGCTTCGCTCTGCAGGGTTCCTACAGCATAAGGCGAGTTAAATTCAAGACTTTTTAAGACTTTTTAATACCACTAGAAATAAAAATAAAAGACCAAATTAACAAGAAACACACAAAAAAAAAAACCTGCTTGCTAAAACTTAACCCAAAGGTTTATTTTAACATAAACCACTGCACTAATGTTTCAAATTTTGAAAAGCTTCCCATACAGGAAGAAAGCTAAAAACACACAAATGACAGATATATTTGAACAATTATTTAACTGAATTCACAAACTTTGTTTTAGCAGGGAACAAAACAAATCAGTTTTAAAATCTTTGAAGTCTTTTTAGCAGCTATTTTTCTTTGTATGGTTTTCTTAGTATGTTTGATTTGGTGATAAGTGGAGGCGTTGCAGAGACAAGGGTGGAACTAAACTGAGAAATACCGGCTGTTTCTCTGTAACTCCATTTTGACGCTTTGTGTTTCGTGCTTCGCATGTGCGACTCCACTGCCTTAATTCCCATCGTTCTGAGCTTGAATGACTTCTTGCATAAATCCACTGAGCCTCATGTATGTTCCCTGGTTTTAGCCATGGAGGAAACTCTTGGCTGGAGACTATTTTGGTTACATTTACACTTGATCATATTTTCCAGACAAAAAGTTAATGGAGCATCTCCCAAATGTCCCGGCAGCAACAACGCTTTATTGGTTCTGCTATCGGGACGGAAACAATAATGGCGAGCAGTTATAAAAAAAAAAAAAAAAAAGTCAATTTTAACGTTTTATTTAGATTACAAAAATAAATCGTAATAAAAATAATCATATTTATGATGTTTTAAAAATTAAGACCTATGAAAGACTGATTTAGGACATTTTAATACCAATTAAGGCCTTAGTTTTATTTTGAAGAATTCAATGCCTTTTAAGACTTTTTAAGGACCCGCAGGAAGCTGCTTCCAGGACCAGATACTAAGTCTACGTTCAGACGGCGCACAGCAGAACCAGCAAGAACGTGCGTCCTGCTTAATTTTTTATGCTTGTACAAGTTTAGCGCTGATACGAGGCTGAAGCCTCTTTAGCTGCGCGGTGGTAAAGTGGTTCTGATGCGCGGTGGGCGGAGCTACCCTATCCTTTCTCTGCCTGGAACAATGGCAGCTATATTAGCTGTGATCAGCGGGTAGAAAGTAGTTAGAATCTCTGTTGAAGTGAGAAAGTCCTCCTGAAAACATGGTCTGTGCAGTCAGTTCATCCAGATTACCATCCTGCCTTCAAAGATTATTTCTCTGTGGGAGCCGCTCAGACCCCCACATACCGGCGCTGCGCTGTCACTGGGAATCCCCAGCAGCAGCTGCCTCACGCCTGCTCGCCTCTCCAGGGTTTTCCCCTCCTGTTGGTGGCGGCTGGAAGTAGATGTTAGCGTTTTTCAGGTCTGTGCTACAAACTGCAGGCAGCAGGATAATAAAAGCCAACATATTCTGCCGGCAGGTTTCTACATTTGAAGTTAATTTAGGCGTTAATAAACTGTTTCAGAGGAGTGATCATAGCGCTCTGCATCAGCAGTGCTGCGTCTGACTCCCTGCCAGCTCCCAGATCAGCTTCTCTCATTGGTTCATGCGGCGCGTCCAGCAGCTAAAGTTAACTTATTCAATTTATTTCTATGCCGCCAATTCACCCGTCATCTCAACTCTCTTTACAGAGAAAAACCAGTAAGGAAAACCAGTTGATTGCATCGACTCATTGACTCTTCAGCAATCCCTCACACTAAGCATGCTTGTAGCGACAGTGGAGAGGAAAAACTCCCTTTGAACAGGAAGAAACCTCCAGCAGAACCAGGCTCAGTGTGAGCGGCGGTTCTGACCTGCAGGAACACAGTCTGGTTTTATTGCTGCGGCTCCGGATGTTTCCTGCATTTAGTCGTCATTTTGTTGCTGGTTTGACCGATAAACTAAAAGTGAGTTTACAATAAAAAATAATCAGACTTTAATGATCAGAGAGAATCAGAGTTCTGCCTGTAGCTGAACTAATGGAGGAGGAGGCGGGCGGCGCTGACCTGCAGAGCACCATGGCTCCTCTGTTGACCTTCGCCCAGCTCTTCATGGTCTCCGTTCCCACCGTGTCCACCAGAATCCTGCTGAAGCGCTCTGCTGAGGACAAAAAGACATGAGTGAGGACAGAGACAGAGACACGCTGGAACACTGACCTCTACGCCAGGAGCTCCGCCCACCCTCTCTGCCGGCCTCGGCCAACACGGCGTCCTGCTCGATGAGCCACTTCAGCACCAGGTGTCCTGCGGCGTGTTCTGCCATGTGGAGCTGCAGGGCAGAGGAGACGATCGGGTTAGATCTGGACTTTGACTAGGCCGTTCTAACGCTGGCTGACCCCCATTCACCGCTTCAAAACGCCGTCCCAATAACCCCTCCTGTCCCACAGCACCATGCTGCCTCTACTTATTATGAGGAGGACCGTAAAGGTTACAGCAGAGGGAGACAGTTTATCATTTTATCAGAAGTCATTTTTCACCGTCGACTGTTTACTGATGCTGATCATTAGGATGGAAGGAAGGTTAGAAGGAAAGAAAGGAAGGAAGGAAAGAAAGGAAGGAAGGAAGGAAGGAAAGGAAGGAAGGAAAGAAAGGAAGGAAGGAAAGAAAGGAAGGAAGGAAAGAAAGGAAGGAAGGAAAGAAAGGAAGGAAGGTTAGAAGGAAAGAAAGGAAGAAAGGTCAGAAGGAAGAAAGGAAAGAAGGAAGCAAGGAAAGAAGGAAGCAAGGAAAGAAGGAAGAAAGGAAAGAAGGAAGAAAGGAAAGAAGGAAGCAAGGAAGGAAGGATAGAAGGAAGGAAGGATGGAAGGAAGGAAGGAAGCAAGGAAGGAAGGAAGCAAGGAAGGAAGGATAGAAGGAAGAAAGGAAGGAAGGAAGGAAAGATAGGAAGGAAGGATGGAAGGATAGAAGGAAAAAAAGGATGGAAGGATGGAAGGATAGAAGGATAGAAGGAAGGATAGAAGGAAAGAAAGGAAGGAAGGAAAGAAAGGAAGGAAGGAAGGAAAGAAAGGAAGGAAGGTTAGAAGGAAAGAAAGGAAGGAAGGAAGGAAAGAAAGGAAGGAAGGAAGGAAGGTTAGAAGGAAAGAAAGGAAGGAAGGAAAGAAAGGAAGGAAGGAAGGAAGGAAAGGAAGGAAGGAAAGGAAGGAAGGAAAGAAAGGAAGGAAGGAAAGAAAGGAAGGAAGGAAAGAAAGGAAGGAAGGTTAGAAGGAAAGAAAGGAAGGTTAGAAGGAAAGAAAGGAAGAAAGGTCAGAAGGAAGAAAGGAAAGAAGGAAGCAAGGAAAGAAGGAAGCAAGGAAAGAAGGAAGAAAGGAAAGAAGGAAGAAAGGAAAGAAGGAAGCAAGGAAGGAAGGATAGAAGGAAGGAAGGATGGAAGGAAGGAAGGAAGGAAGCAAGGAAGGAAGGAAGCAAGGAAGGAAGGATAGAAGGAAGAAAGGAAGGAAGGAAGGAAAGATAGGAAGGAAGGATGGAAGGATAGAAGGAAAAAAAGGATGGAAGGATGGAAGGATAGAAGGATAGAAGGAAGGATAGAAGGAAAGAAAGGAAGGAAGGAAAGAAAGGAAGGAAGGAAGGAAAGAAAGGAAGGTTAGAAGGAAAGAAAGGAAGGAAGGAAGGAAAGAAAGGAAGGAAGGAAGGAAAGAAAGGAAGGAAGGAAAGAAAGGAAGGAAGGAAAGAAAGGAAGGAAGGTTAGAAGGAAAGAAAGGAAGAAAGGTCAGAAGGAAGGAAGGAAGGGAAGAAGGAAGAAAGGAAAGAAGGAAGCAAGGAAAGAAGGAAGAAAGGAAAGAAGGAAGAAAGGAAAGAAGGAAGCAAGGAAGGAAGGATAGAAGGAAGGAAGGATAGAAGGAAGAAAGGAAGGAAGGAAAGATAGGAAGGATGGAAGGATAGAAGGAAAAAAAGGATGGAAGGAAGGAAGGAAGGAAGGAAGGATAGAAGGAAGGATAGAAGGAAAGAAAGGAAGGAAGGAAGGAAAGGAAGGAAGGAAAGAAAGGAAGGAAGGAAAGAAAGGAAGGAAGGTTAGAAGGAAAGAAAGGAAGAAAGGTCAGAAGGAAGGAAGGATAGAAGGAAAGGAAGGAAGGATAGAAGGAAGGAAGGATGGAAGGATAGAAGGAAAAAAAGGATGGAAGGATGGAAGGATAGAAGGAAGGAAGGAAAGAAGGAAGGATAGAAGGAAAGAAAGGAAGGAAGGAAGGTTAGGAGGGAAGGAAGGAAGGTTAGGAGGAAAGAAAGGAAGGAAGGATAGAAGGAAAGAAAGGAAGGAAGGAAGGATAGAAGGATAGAAGGAAAGAAAGGAAGGAAGGAAGGATAGAAGGATAGAAGAAAAGAAAGGAAGGATAGAAGGAAAGAAAGGAAGGAAGGAAAGATAGGAAGGAAGGATAGAAGGAAAGAAGGAAAGGAAGGAAAGAAGGAAAGAAGGAAAGGAAGGAAAGAAGGAAAGAAAGAAACATGAAGGAAGGTTTGGAAAAGCAGAGCAGGAAGTGGCTGCCTCACCTCTCCATCCACGCCTCCCGGCACCAGCTCCTGATTGGCCAGCTGGGCCACGGCTGTCATGGCGGGCCGCAGGTCCCCGCAGGCGGACGCCAGAATGTCGCTGATGGTGACGCTGGTGGCCTTGTCCTTCACCATGGTTGCGGCGTTGGCACAGAGGTAGTCCAGCAGCGCGGGGGAGACGGCCTCCAGCAGCTCCTTCCGTCGGGTCGCCATGTCCTTTTTACTGAGCGGAACCAGAACCGTCGGATCAGGGACAGTTCTGATACTTTTCCTTTATTAAAATCAAACCTTTGATTCATGCTGAGTTTCTGCTAAGATATAGTTTTTATTCTAATTTAATTAGAATAAAAACTAAACTAATTTCTTTTCTTTACTTCATTTCAGTCTTTAGTTTTTTTCGATATAATCTCCAGTTGGAACCAGAGGACCGGTTCTGATGACCTCAGTGACTGAACCAGGAATAGAACCGACAGCTGAACGCCGCTGAACCCGAAGGTCAGGTGATCTGTCAGCTCAGTGTAACCTTAGTAACACGCATGCGTCCATGATCGTTATCAGCGGTAATCTGTCCCATTGAACGGATTCCGATTATTCCAGAAGCCTCAGTAGGTTTTATCACCTTAAAGTCATTTGTTTTCCCCCAAGGAATTAATGAATCCATTTATAATCTGAAAATTATTTCACTAGTTCTTCATGTGCTGTAAAAATCAATAAAAATAAAATAATCTGGATGTCGCTCTTAATTAAAAAACTAAAAATAAAGATCCTATCCTGTCATCTGGGATGTTTTAAAGAAGCTGCAGGAGTTTCATTACATCAACGAACGGATTGTTTCCCCCTAGTGGCCAATCTGTGTAGTGCCCCTTTGCGCCGCCTGGTGGCTTCAACGTGTCGGCACACAGAATTTCCAAGGCGAAGGCACCCTACCTCCCCCTGGTGGTTGATCTTTTATTTACAGCTAAACCTTGTTTCTAGAGTCTTCTGTCTTTTTCTTTGTTGAGGACAAATAATGTTTAAGGGATAACTGTAGAGTGGAGATTTTAATTAGGGATGCCCGATATAATCGGCCCCCTATCTGTATCGGCCTTAAAACTGAATATCGGACATCGGCCACCCCACCGATATTTAACCCCATATTTGATCAGCTTCTGAGTTTCTAAAGTCTAAAAAAAAAAAGAAAAAATACTACATCTTCTTCTTCCTCAAAAACTTCTTTTTTACAGACTTAAAAACTTCTAAAGACGAGGGAAAAAATATTGATACATTAAAATATCCCAATATCTTCCTATGCTGATATATTGCCATTTAAAAACACCATATCAATCTCTTTTACTAATGAAATATTGCTATATGTCATCGTTATGCTACGAAATCCCCTGAAAATTCACCAAATGTTGCCATATTTTTATATGTTGATATATTGACGCGGTATCGATCTATTTTACTAACAAAATCTCACAAGAATTTGCAAAATATCACGAGAGTTTGTAACAGAACGATGAAATTTCACCAGATTCTGAAAGTAAAATAGATCGATACCGCGTTTTTAAAAATCTATTTGATATCAGCATATGAAAATATATTTGAGTATATTATTTTTCAAAGTGTCAGAAATGGATAACAAAACTGCTATTTTCAATGACTACTTATTTTTGTCCAGCTTTAACATCGGTATCGATATCGGTTATCGGCTACATGAGTTTTAAAATATCGGCATATCGGATATCGGCCAAAATCCCAATATCGTGCATCCCTAATTTTAATTATTCGGTTCTTCTCTCAGCTTTGACTCTGCTGAGCGGATATCCAATCATTGCATTTCTTCTTTTGTGTTTTTTTTGGTTAATAAACATGCATTATTTCCACTTGCAGGAAGGTCAGTGATTCATTCATTCATCAGAGGATTGAAGGAATTAAAGGCATAGAGGACGATCTTTTATTTCTGATTGGTTCGTCTAAATAAGTGGTCCTCCGAACTGTCAATCATTCTGGTGATATTGTTGGAGTTATTATGATTTCTGTTGTTTTTATCATTTTATTCATTTATATATTTTATATTGCTCTCAATTATTTGTTTTTCTATATGTTATTCTCATCATTGGAAATAGTGTATGAAGGTCATAAGGCGGTCAAATGTTTCGCAAGAATGATTTCCTGTTTTTCATTTGAGAAGCAGAGGAGTGTAAAGGTCATAACCCCGACACCTTGTGTAAAGCGTATGCTGAAACCAGGCAAGTTCCCCATCTTAAAGGTTCATTCTATGTCTAAGAGATTGCGTAATCTAAACTGACGCCTGCTGTTGTAATGTGTTGACTGCTCAATAAAAAGCCTGGCAAGTGTTGAGCCAAGCGATGATGCAGAGATTGATTCTTCAACTCTGTGCTCCTCTTTGCGAAGCATTCCAGGAAAAATCTTACACCGTCTTTGTTTCATTTTTTATAGGTTAAAGTTGGGGAAACTTAACAACCCTAAAAATATGTTTACGTAATGCCGTCCTACGCGCTCGTCCCGTTAGCTAGCTTTTTCTGCGCACTTTCAGGCGTATATCTGTGGTGAGCTACGGTTTCAGACGCTCATTGAAGCTCACCTTTCTGGTTCTTTGAAAATGGCCGAGGGTCGGAAGAGAAAAAGTGTCAATGAAGTGAATGAGAAAAAAATAAGACCTTAGAAGAGGCAGATATATCCCAGAATGCTTTGCGCTGAGAGCTCTCCTCGCAAAGCATTACGGGATTTGCTGTCACAGCGGCCCGCTAATACCAAAGATGGCGCAGTGGACCAATAGGGAAGTGATCATTTGTCTTAACGGCCAGTTAACTCTATAGTCCCCGCTCTATGTAGTGATGGATGAATTTAAGGTTATGGCGTTCAGACACGGTAAACTTATGAGCGATGAAAACAGTATCTTTAAACTCTCACACGTGCATTTTTTTATATTTTTTTTAAATCGGAGGGCGGGTGCTTTAAAGAAATTCGAAAAAAATCCTCCACAATAATCAAAAATCTTGATCGTTCTTTAACTAGATCCTCGTCAAGCAGATATTTCTAAAGCTAATGTGTGGTGGACCTGGTGAAGGACATTTTTTTACACAAAACAACTACAAAAATCTGACTAAATCGGGAAGTAAAACGGCGTGATTGGCTGTAAGGAGAGCGGAGTCTTTGTCATACGTATGAATGAGGGTATGCTGGCCTGACGCCGTATGCTGAGCTGACAGAACACCAGCCGGTTCCGGTCGGCTCTCGGTACCTGTGAGCGTTCCCGTCTCCCTGCTCCAGCTCCCTGGCGATCTCCGGCAGCATGTGGGCGGGGTCTCTGGGGCTCAGCAGGTACAGGAGGACCTTCTTGCCGTGTTTGTTCCCGAGGACCTCAGGCAGCGCCGCCAGGATCTCCTGCACAGAAAGCAGCCGTCAGGTTCCTCTGGATGTTCCTGAGCAGAACCCTCAGAGCAGGACGTACCGACAGAACCGCCTGGCGGACCAGCTTGGTGTCGTCCACGCAGTCGAATATGGCCAGCAGGACCATGTGACCGAACTCCCCCTGTGGATGGAGGGGGGTTAGTGGGTCAGACGGTGACTGAAGGTCGGATTGGATCGGATCGGCGATGGACTCACCGTGGCGAATTTCACCATGTAGGTCTTCATGGTCTTAATGATGACTTTTCTGTCCTGCGACACAGAAAGCATCTCGTTCAGTCATTAAAACCAGACTTCTGGTCCAATCAGCACCACCAGAACCAGCCCCAACCACCACGCCTCCACCTCCGTGCTTCCATGCTGTTGATGACGCCAGCTCCACCTCCAAACCTCACAGCAACCTTCGGTCTCCTCTCCCCCAGGCTCATCTCGCAACGCCGAGTTTGAAAAACAAGAGCAATGACCTCAGAGGAGCGTCACTCTGAGGGTCAGAGCGCTGAAGCACGGAGGTGGAGGGTTGATGATGTGGGCTGGTTCAGCCGCTGGATAAAAGAACTGATCCAAACAGGTCATTAGCAGAAGAAAAGCAGCGATAAAGGAGGAAATATGAGATCAGAAAGTTCATTTAAACATTTTATACGTTCAGCTTTTTCGCTTTTAAGTCGTAATAATCGATTCTAATGCGTCAAATTAGAGGATTTTTATGGAGCCTTTTCACAAGACTTTTATTTGATCGATATCAGATGGAAATAATGACGTATAGTACAGACCAAATGTTTGGACAAAAGAGTTTTCTTTATTTCCATGACTATGAAACTTAAAGACTCACATTGAAGGCATCAAAACTATGAATTAAAAAATAAATTCTGTCTTATATTCTAGGTTTTCAGTAGCTACCTTTTGCTTCGATTACTGCTTCAAACACTCTTAGCATTCTTTTGATGAGCTTTAAGAGGCGGTCAAAGTTGTAATATTACAAGAATAAAGTCGTCAAATTACGAGAATGAAGTCATCATACCGCAACCAGTTTCATTTATTTTTTTGTTTCCTGTCTGGAAATCTGGCAATAAGAATAATTGTCTTGATGCCAAAAAGATCCCAACAGATTTTGCTTTCACAAGTGGAGCAGTACGGCTATCGCCATAGTGAAGCTTGGAGCTCCGCCCACCAGATGACGGCCGACCAGCTCCACCAATCAGCAACCAGAGTCCACTTTGACATCCTGCTCAGTTTGAAGCTGCTGCTAAAAGATTTCCTGATTTGTCAAACCGATTGTACAAAAGTTAATTCCTGTTCATGAAAATTCCTACCTTCCCAAAGTTCATAAACGCACCGCAGTCAGTCCGCAGCAGACGGCGGTTTAATGATCTGCAGATAACCTGACTCCGCCAAATGGATTTGCTCCGCATATCCATCTGGAAACCTTCCGTAGAAGTAATTTTGATGAAGGGGCGAAATTACTGGTTAGCTGATTGGCCTATGTTGGTGATAGACGGGCCAAATAAACCAATCAGATCAACGAAGCATATGACGTACTAACAGAGCGACGACGAAGAGGAGCCAATTGATAGATCAAACTCTTGCTGAAACCAGTCGGGAGAAGAGCAAAAACATTTTTCCTCTGAGAAAAGCCTCCAGAGCAGTGTTTTGCTCTTCTTTCAGTGAAGAAATACTCTGTAATTCCGATAAAACTTGCTCGATAGCCACGCTAACGCTAGTTTCATCGGCTGAAGCCGCCATGTTCTTTAGACTGAACTGTCGCGCTTCTCATTGCGTCACACCTCAACCCGCCTCAAAGCCAACGCTGATTGGACGTTCGTTTGGTGAACGGCTCCAAATTTTCTTTAACGGAGAGTCTCCAGACTGATTAGCGAGTGAAACCTTGAAAGCTCGCGAGATCACGATGGTCTCACCAGGCTACTTCTTGTAAGAGTTGTCATAGAAAACTTTATTCTCGTAATTTAAAAATTTTTTTTCATGACTTCATTCTCATAGTGTTACGACTTGAAACAGAAAAGAATCATCTCTACATGTCCCTAATACTCTGTTATACTTTCCTGCTCTCTGGTCCAACATCTAATAATCTAACAGGCTTTATTTTATTTTTCTGTATTTTTTTATTTAATGACATCAGGGAGAAAAAGGACGGTTGGACGGTAATCAATAATCCATCAGGTCTCTGGAACCTGCTGCGGAGGCGTGAACCCACCTTGGCGTTGCCGTGCCACAGGCAGCGCATGGCCACCCGCGCGCCGTCGTGAGTGTGGGCCATGTAGACCACCGCCTCCCTGATGTACTCGGTCATCTCCTGCGGAGTCACAACAAGCAGACGTTAGAGCCGACGTCTGTGACGGCGCCTGAGGCGGGAGGGCGGGCGGCGCTCACCGATCGCTGCTTGTCGGAGGCGAACAGGAAGAAATCCAGGAAGACTTTATGGACCAGAGAGTGTTTGATGACCTGTTCTCTGTGGGAGAGCAGAGGAGCGTTAGATCCAAACAACGCCAGGCGGTGCAGATAGCTCCGCCCACTAACGGAACGGCTCTTACTTCTGCGACAGCGGGACGATGATCTGCCGGGTCTCGTCCATTATGTTCTCCAGCTTCTCCGGGTTGGCCTTCACCACCTTCTCGATGGTGTTGTGTTCGTAGGACTGAAGCAGAGAGCAGACAGGTGAGACGAGCAGACAGGTGAGACCAGCAGACAGGTGAGACGAGCAGACAGGTGAGACCAGCAGACAGGTGAGACCAGCAGACAGGTGAGACGAGCAGACAGGTGAGACCAGCAGACAGGTGAGACCAGCAGACAGGTGAGACCAGCAGACAGGTGAGACCAGCAGACAGGTGAGACGAGCAGACAGGTGAGACCAGCAGACAGGTGAGACCAGCAGACAGGTGAGACGAGCAGACAGGTGAGACGAGCAGACAGGTGAGACCAGCAGACAGGTGAGACCAGCAGACAGGTGAGACGAGCAGACAGGTGAGACCAGCAGACAGGTGAGACCAGCAGACAGGTGAGACCAGCAGACAGGTGAGACGAGCAGACAGGTGAGACGAGCAGACAGGTGAGACCAGCAGACAGGTGAGACCAGCAGACAGGTGAGACGAGCAGACAGGTGAGACCAGCAGACAGGTGAGACCAGCAGACAGGTGAGACCAGCAGACAGGTGAGACCAGCAGACAGGTGAGACGAGCAGACAGGTGAGACCAGCAGACAGGTGAGACCAGCAGACAGGTGAGACGAGCAGACAGGTGAGACGAGCAGACAGGTGAGACGAGCAGACAGGTGAGACCAGCAGACAGGTGAGACCAGCAGACAGGTGAGACGAGCAGACAGGTGAGACGAGCAGACAGGTGAGACCAGCAGACAGGTGAGACCAGCAGACAGGTGAGACGAGCAGACAGGTGAGACGAGCAGACAGGTGAGACCAGCAGACAGGTGAGACCAGCAGACAGGTGAGACGAGCAGACAGGTGAGACCAGCAGACAGGTGAGACCAGCAGACAGGTGAGACCAGCAGACAGGTGAGACCAGCAGACAGGTGAGACCAGCAGACAGGTGAGACCAGCAGACAGGTGAGACGAGCAGACAGGTGAGACCAGCAGACAGGTGAGACCAGCAGACAGGTGAGACCAGCAGACAGGTGAGACGAACAGACAGGTGAGACGGGCAGACAGGTGAGACGGGCAGACAGGTGAGACGGGCAGACAGGTTAGACGGACCGGCAGACAGGTGAGACGAGCAGACAGGTGAGACCAGCAGACAGGTGAGACGGGCAGACAGGTGAGACGAACAGACAGGTGAGACCAGCAGACAGGTGAGACGAACAGACAGGTGAGACGGGCAGACAGGTGAGACGAGCAGACAGGTGAGACCAGCAGACAGGTTAGACGGACCGGCAGACAGGTGAGACGAGCAGACAGGTGAGACGGGCAGACAGGTGAGACCAGCAGACAGGTTAGACGGACCGGCAGACAGGTGAGACGAGCAGACAGGTGAGACGGACCGGCAGACAGGTGAGACCAGCAGACAGGTGAGACGAACAGACAGGTGAGACGGGCAGACAGGTGAGACGAGCAGACAGGTGAGACAAGCAGACAGGTTAGACGGACCGGCAGACAGGTGAGACGAGCAGACAGGTTAGACCAGCAGACAGGTGAGACCAGCAGACAGGTGAGACGGACCGGCAGACAGGTGAGACCAGCAGACAGGTGAGACGAACAGACAGGTGAGACGGGCAGACAGGTGAGACGAGCAGACAGGTGAGACAAGCAGACAGGTTAGACGGACCGGCAGACAGGTGAGACGAGCAGACAGGTTAGACCAGCAGACAGGTGAGACCAGCAGACAGGTGAGACGGACCGGCAGACAGGTGAGACCAGCAGACAGGTGAGACGAACAGACAGGTGAGACGGGCAGACAGGTTAGACCAGCAGACAGGTGAGACCAGCAGACAGGTGAGACGGACCGGCAGACAGGTGAGACCAGCAGACAGGTGAGACGAACAGACAGGTGAGACGGGCAGACAGGTGAGACGAGCAGACAGGTGAGACCAGCAGACAGGTTAGACGGACCGGCAGACAGGTGAGACCAGCAGAACGGTGAGACCAGCAGACAGGTGAGACTAGGGCTGGGTATTGTTAAAAAAATTTCGGTTCCGGTACCAATACCGATACCTTCACTTCGATACCGGTTCCTGAACGATACTTTTTTCGATACCAGTTTTATAATATCAATTCGAAAAAAAAGAAAATTACACAACATAAAAAAGTACAAATCTTGAGTTTTATTTTAAGCTCTGTTTTTCCATTTACATTTTTCCTCTTACATAAAAAAATAAATAATTCAGTGTCTAATATTCACTGTTACATTGTGAGGACCTTTTTACTTAGCAGTTTTCCTTTAGAAAAATTACCATGTCTGACAAACAAGCCCGTTGAATGGGATCCTACTGACAGCGCACCGCTGGTATGGGGGGGGTCTGAGCGGCTCCGACAGAAATATTGAAGGCAGGATGAACTGACTGCACTGATTACGTTTTCAGGTGGATTTTCCCACTTAAAAACATAATAAAACTACTTTATTCCCACTGATCACAGCAAATATAGCTGCAAGGCAAATAAAGGATAGAGTAGCTCCGCCCAACGCGCGTCTGACCCACTTTGCGACCGCGCAGCCAGAGCAGCAAAGCTTCTTCAGCAGCGCGTCAGAAGCTGGTACAAGCAGCAAAAATGAAGCAGCAGACGAGATTTTGCTGCTCTTGCTGCGTCCAGTTTGAAAGCAGCATGATTCACTCCGCTCTGGCTTTGCTCTGCCCACGGGCTGCTGAGAGGAGGATGGTCGCGCTGGCTGCGGTCCGCTCTTCTTGCAGTCAAACACAGAGCGACTTTCTGCTCTTAAATTGTCTCCGTGCACGATGTATTGCATTGCGCACTATTAGCATCAGTCTTAATAAAGTGAAGCCGCACTTTTGACCTGGGGGGCATTTTAAAGGGGTTCCACGACGCTGCAACCAGTTCACAAAAGATACACATGAACCCTGGCTGTAGGCGGGACCACCTGTGTATTTTTCCTGGATGACGCAATCACGTTAAGTGTTCCAGCCAATCACCGAAACTTGGTACCGAAAGACGAGGCATGTTTCGATACTCGGTAGAACCGAAGCATTTCGGTCGGTACCATAAAAGTACCGAAGTTCGGTACCCAGCCCTAGGTGAGACGAGCAGACAGGTGAGACGGGCAGACAGGTGAGACCGGCAGACAGGTGAGACGAACAGACAGGTGAGACGGGCGGACAGGTGAGACGAACAGACAGGTGAGACGAGCAGACAGGTGAGACCAGCAGACAGGTGAGACGAACAGACAGGTGAGACAGGCAGACAGGTGAGACGAACAGACAGGTGAGACCAGCAGACAGGTGAGACGAACAGACAGGTGAGACGGGCAGACAGGTGAGACGAGCAGACAGGTGAGACCAGCAGACAGGTTAGACGGACCGGCAGACAGGTGAGACGAGCAGACAGGTGAGACGGGCAGACAGGTGAGACGGACCAGCAGACAGGTGAGACGAGCAGACAGGTGAGACCAGCAGACAGGTGAGACCAGCAGACAGGTGAGACGGACCGGCAGACAGGTGAGACGAGCAGACAGGTGAGACGGGCAGACAGGTGAGACGGACCGGCAGACAGGTGAGACGAGCAGACAGGTGAGACGGGCAGACGGGTGAGACGGGCAGACAGGTGAGACCCGCAGCCCTCCCCCACCCTGACCCCCCCGCCCTGACGGCGAGTTCTGACCTTGCAGATGGCGTAGGTGGTTCCGTACAGCTCGTCTGTGATCATCAGCCTCTGAGCCAGCATGGCTTTGTCGTTGTAGGCGTACTCGATGATGGCGGAGGCGGCGGCGTGGCGGAGCATCTGGCGAATTTTACCTTTGTACATCTCGATGACGGCGGCCACCAGCTCCTTGTTCCTGTGCAGAAGAACCAGAACCGGAGGTCGGCTTTGGGTTTTCAATTCAGCGGAGGTGGGAGCAGCGGTCCGATCCGACTCACCCGTACATCAGCAGCTTCTTCACCACGTGCTTCCCGTACGGCGATTTGGACAGCGCCAGCAGAGATTCTGCAGACGACAACAAGCGTGGACAGCGGGTCGGTCCGACTGCTCACAGAACCAGAACCGAACCAGAACGCCATTAATGGCGCCGCGCTCACCTTTCAGCTCCTCAAACACCTCCCGTCGCTGCTGCTCACTGCCAAACTGGATGAAGCACTGAAGAACCCGAACAGAGTCATGAGCGAACGCCATCTGTAGGCGGGAGGAGAGAGATATGAACGGATGAATGGATGAATGGATGGATGATGGATGGATGAACGAATGATGGACGGATGAATGATGGAAGGATGAACGAATGATGGACGGATGAACGGATGAATGATGGACGGATGAACGAATGATGGACGGATGAACGAATGATGGACGGATGAACGGATGAATGATGGACGGATGAACGAATGATGGACGGATGAACGGATGAATGATGGATGGATGAACGAATGATGGATGGATGGATGAACGGATGAATGATGGATGAACGGATGAATGATGGATGAACGAACGAGAATGATGGATGGATTAACAAATGATGGACGGATGAACAAATGATGGACGGATGAACAAATGATGGACGGATGAACAAATGATGGACGGATGAACGAATGATGGACGGATGAACAAATGATGGACGGATGAATGATGGATGGATGGATGAATGATGGATGGATGAATGATGGACGGATGAACGGATGATGGACAGATGAATGGATGAATGATGGATGAACGAATGAATGATGGATGGATGAACGAATGATGGATGGATGAACGAATGATGGATGGATGAACGAATGATGGACGGATGAACGGATGAATGATGGATGAACGAATGAATGATGGATGATCGAACGAGAATGATGGACGGATGAACAGATGAATGATGGATGGATGAACGAATGATGGATGGATGAACGAATGATGGATGGATGAACGAATGATGGATGGATGAACAGATGAATGATGGATGGATGAACGAATGATGGATGGATGAACAGATGAATGATGGATGGATGAACAGATGAATGATGGATGGATGAACGAATGATGGATGGATGAACAGATGAATGATGGATGGATGAACAGATGAATGATGGATGGATGAACAGATGAATGATGGATGGATGAACGAATGATGGATGGATGAACAGATGAATGATGGACGGATGAACAGATGAATGATGGATGGATGAACGAATGATGGATGGATGAACGAATGATGGATGGATGAACGAATGATGGATGGATGAACGAATGATGGATGAACGGATGAATGATGGATGAACGAACGAGAATGATGGATGGATTAACAAATGATGGACGGATGAACGAATGAACAAATGATGGACGGATGAACGAATGATGGACGGATGAATGGATGAATGACGGATGGATGAAGGAGATCTGAAAGTGATTGTAATCAAATTCCAGGCTTTTCCAGGCAGGAACCTGGTTTTCCAGGAACAGACCTGTTTCATCTTCCCCTGGATGAGAACATGAAGCTGCTTCATCAGTTTCTTCCTCTGCTCCTCGTCGCATTTCTTCCTGTGGATCCAAACATCATCCGTCAGTCAGCAGGAACATCGGCCCGTATGTAACAAGCCCCGCCCCCTCCACCCCACAGAGGAACCCTGAGCAGACGGATCTGATGAGCTCCAACGTTTCTACCAGGTCTGAACTTTTTACTTTGCTCTTCTTTAGTTTTAATTTCTGACGCCTTCATTTAATAGAAGCTCAGTTCTGAATCTGGAGGCCGTTCAGGACTCGATGAGTCAGAACCCGATGAGTCAGAACCCGATGAGTCAGAACCCGATGAGTCAGGACCCGATGAGTCAGGACCCGATGAGTCAGGACCCGATGAGTCAGGACCCGATGAGTCAGGACCCGATGAGTCAGAACCCGATGAGTCAGGACCCGATGAGTCAGGACCCGATGAGTCAGAACCCGATGAGCCAGGACCCGATGAGCCAGGACCCGATGAGCCAGGACCCGATGAGTCAGGACCCGATGAGTCAGGACCCGATGAGTCAGGACCCGATGAGTCAGGACTTGATGAGTCAGAACCCGATGAGTCAGAACCCGATGAGTCAGAACCCGATGAGTCAGGACCCGATGAGTCAGGACCCGATGAGTCAGAACCCGATGAGTCAGAACCCGATGAGTCAGGACCCGATGAGTCAGGACCCGATGAGTCAGGACCCGATGAGTCAGGACTTGATGAGTCAGGACCCGATGAGTCAGGACCCGATGAGTCAGGACCCGATGAGTCAGGACCCGATGAGTCAGGACCCGATGAGTCAGGACCCGATGAGTCAGAACCCGATGAGCCAGGACCCGATGAGCCAGGACCCGATGAGTCAGGACCCGATGAGTCAGGACCCGATGAGTCAGAACTCGATGAGTCAGGACCCGATGAGTCAGGACTTGATGAGTCAGAACCCGATGAGTCAGAACCCGATGAGTCAGAACCCGATGAGTCAGGACCCGATGAGTCAGGACCCGATGAGTCAGAACCCGATGAGTCAGAACCCGATGAGTCAGAACCCGATGAGTCAGAACCCGATGAGTCAGAACCCGAACCCACTCAGTTTTTATTTTCGGGAGAGTAAAATTTTTTTTTTTTTTTGCGATGATGATCGCAAAAAAAAAAAAAAAATTATTTATCAGTCAAAATTGCTTTAAAATCACCAACATTCGATGAAAACGATCCAGAAGCGTTGCCGGCGCCTGTTTTGTAATTTTCCGCCAGATGGCGTGATTTTTGTCCAGCTAGCAGTAATTTTGATGTAGTTACCAAAACGACAAACAAGCTAGAAAGCGTTATGATATGGCAGTGTTCTGACAGTGATGCAGGTCATACATTAAAAAATGGTCATTACGGTACATTATTTTCTCTCAGACATTGGAGAGGTGCATTTAAATGTTATAGAGCTAAACATGTTAGATTGGGGACCTGTTATGTTATTATTATTGTCTTGTTGCTGCATTTATTTTGTCAGGGAAAACTGATCCTGAGTCAGTTAAAAGTCAGGGAATTCTGAAACTATGTGAAAACCCTGAATAAAATAACTATGGATAATGATTCTCTAGAAAAGTCACATTATATTAATAGTATTATCTCGTATAAACATACCGTGACTCTAAAATAAGTTATTTATTTGTGACATTGACTTCTGACTGTAATTTATCTTAAGTTTTTAACCTGTCAAGTTTTTTTTTTAAAGATTTTTAACATTACTATTTATATTTTTCCAAGCACACAACAGTTTAAAGCAAAGTTTAGTTTGAAAAGAATGTGCAGGAAGGATTGAAAAGCATGTTAACACGGTAATGTAGGCTGGAGTTCATTATCTGACGCATGCAGATACACACCAGGAACCTGGAAACTTAAAAAATACTGAATTACATAAAACATTTAAAAAACAAACATGTTTCATTGATATATATACAGAAATGAACATTAGGAACTATATTTATCAGACATTATACTGGGAAAGTAAAAATCTGAAGGTTCTGGAGCTTCTCTTTAGAGGAACCTCTGCACCATGATTGTGTTCGTACCTGCGGAGGTTCCCCCACACTCCTTTGCACTGGCGGATGATGTCAAACATCTCCTTCCTCTCCGCCTGCTGCCTGCTCTCCTTCAGCTCCTTCTTCTTCTGCAGCCTCTTCTTCTTCAGCTCTTCGTCCGTCATCGGCTTCTCCTCGCCTCTCTTTTTGGCCGGCGGACCTGATGGCAGAAACAATCGACTGAAACGCTGTCGTCTAACAGGAAGACTTCACCTGAGACGGATACTCACCGCCGCCCCCTGCTGGCAGCTTCCTCTTCCCCGGCGCTCCTTTCCCAGCATTAGAGAAACCGGATTTTCTCCCTCCACCGTTTGCTTTTCCAGGTCTGCTCTTGTTCTCCGTGTTCTTGTAGGGTTTAAAGGGTTTCTTTCCAGCAGGCTTCCCTCCGAACTTTGTCCCTGAGGAATCTGGAAGGAGTCGAGGAGTCGCTGGTAAAGTTGGAGGGCAATGATGTCACTCCTGTTAATGAGGCACTTCTTACCTTTTCCTTTGTGCAAAGGCTTCCTCCCACCTTTGGAGGAGAACGGTTTCTGGGGTTTGGCTTCCATGCTGACGACGATCCACGGATATGCTGAGAGGAGAAAACGGATCAGGCAGGAAGAACAGAACTAAGGTGAAAACTGGACATCTGGACCATCAAACATCTGTTTCAGGTCCAAATATGCTCAAAGAGCCATGTTGGACCAAAAAAACAAAAACTAAATCTGTCTGAAGCCGCAAAAATGTTTAAGTCTTCTATCAGCCTCTTATGGCAACACTAACTGTTTTATCCAACTATAGAAAATGACTATGTGGGCTTAAATATATAATAAACATTCATGATTAAATGTTTATCCTGGAGCAAATGTCAGATACCAGCATGAGGTGATGGAGGAGCAGTGAACGCTCTCACTGCATGGAATTCACCGCGCGGTTCAGGTTTTTGTTGCATTGATGAAATGATAGAAACAGGATAAAGGAATCTCTCTATGGTGGACGTGTTTCTGTTGGGAGGAGCTGATGGAGTCATGAGGAACCAAGCAGGAAGTGACATCATCAGAGCAGAGCTCTCTAACCCTGAAATCCCACATCCTCCATCACCATCAGTCCTTGGTAGAATTTAGATTTTTAGGATTTGGGGAAAAACATCCCTGCATGAGAGCGCTACCTGTTTGATCTATGAACGGTTTTCTATCCTTGCAACCAACCTAGCAGCAGTAGTGGAGTTTAAGATGCAATCTACTTCTAAAATCTATCTTTGCTCTCCTCTAATTTATCCAGAAGTTCTGCAGGTAAACTTTTTCTCTCCCTCCCAGCTCGGTGGTCGGCTGCATATTTAGCTTTCCATGGAAATGTCTTTCCTAATTTTTTTTTTTGACAACTTCTCATTACAAAACGAAAAAGCAGGTACCGTAATCGTTCCGCACTGATAATGAAAGCAAATGATTCGCTCTGTTTGAATCCTCTTTTCTAATCAGCTATCTTCCTTTTTCCCCTCATGGTCTGAGACACTCCTGCAGCTTTATCTGCCTGGGAAGTTATGACACTGATCTCTATGGCTGTGATGCAAATTACTGTTTACATTTATTTATTATACAAATATTTACAGCTTTGGAAAACATAATTAATAAATAATTAATCCTGCACACCACATTAAAACAAAAAAAATCGATTTTCATAACTTTTTAAATATGCTGATGAAGGTTCTCAGTCATCCAGGTCGCAGTCATTCCGTAAAAGTTCAAAATATCCACTGGACTTGGTTTCCAAGGTTTGAAGACGTTTCGCTTCCCCTCCAGGAAGCTTTCTCTATTCTAATGTCTGGATCTGCAGTGAGTTTGAGTCTTTATAGACAAAGCCTTGTATCGCTTGGAAACATGCAAATGAAAACCGATGAGCGGGTCGTTAGGTTCCATCGTTAGCCTGTAATATCTGAAACCTGTCTATGATTGTTAAGGGTCGGTCGTTAAGGAGGAATTGTTCAGTGGCTGGAGCGGGGAGGTGCTTCGTTCCTCTGTGATGGGGTGGGGGGTGTGGTGATATCTGGAAGGGATCCTCTCTGACTGAATTGTACGTTTTTGGAAGCTGGAATCTGAGTCCACCGCCTCTTTAACCAACAGAGAAACCCCTTCTTGGGCCAGAGGTAACCAGCGGGTCCCAATGAAGAAAATCACCAACCAGTAAAGGTCCAGAGACATTTTTGAACAGGAGAAAAGACCTTTTTACATTTTATTTCAGTGTAATCAGAAGTCTGACTTTTAATCTCAGAGTTTTGACTTTTAATCTTAGAATTCTGAATTTAATCTCAGAATTCTGACTTTAATCTCAGAATTCTGACTTTTAATCTCAAAATTCTGACTTTTAATCTCAGAGTTTTGACTTTTAATCTCAAAATTCTGACTTTTAATCTCAGAGTTTTGACTTTTAATCTCAAAATTCTGACTTTTAATCTCAGAATTCTGACTTTTAATCTCAGAATTCTGACTTTTAATCTCAGAATTCTGACTTTTAATCTCAGAGTTTTGACTTTTAATCTCAGAGTTTTGACATTTAATCTCAGAGTTTTGACTTTTAATCTCAGAGTTTTGACTTTTAATCTCAGAGTTTTGACTTTTGATCTTAGAATTCTGAATTTAATCTCAGAATTCTGACTTTTAATCTCAGAATTCTGACTTTTAATCTCAGAATTCTGACTTTTAATCTCAGACTTTTGACTTTTAATCTCAGAGTTTTGACTTAATCTCAGAGTTTTGACTTTTAATCTTAGAATTCTGAATTTAAATCTCAGAATTCTGACTTTTAATCTCAGAATTCTGACTTTTAATCTCAGAGTTTTTACTTTTAATCTCAAAATTCTGACTTTTAATCTCAGAATTCTGACTTTTAATCTCAAAATTCTGACTTTAATCTCAGAATTCTGACTTTAATCTCAGAATTCTGACTTTTAATCTCAGAATTCTGACTTTTAATCTCAGAGTTTTGACTTTTAATCTCAGAGTTTTGACTTTTAATCTCAGAGTTATGACTTTTAATCTCAGAGTTTTGACTTTTAATCTTAGAATTCTGAATTTAATCTCAGAATTCTGACTTTAATCTCAAAATTCTGACTTTTAATCTCAAAATTCTGACTTTTAATCTCAGAGTTTTGACTTTTAATCTCAAAATTCTGACTTTTAATCTCAGAGTTTTGACTTTTAATCTCAAAATTCTGACTTTTAATCTCAGAATTCTGACTTTTAATCTCAGAATTCTGACTTTTAATCTCAGAATTCTGACTTTTAATCTCAGAATTCTGACTTTTAATCTCAGAATTCTGACTTTTAATCTCAGAATTCTGACTTTTAATCTCAGAGTTTTGACTTTTAATCTCAAAATTCTGACTTTTAATCTCAAAATTCTGACTTTTAATCTCAAAATTCTGACTTTAATCTCAGAATTCTGACTTTAATCTCAGAATTCTGACTTTTAATCTCAGAATTCTGACTTTTAATCTCAGAGTTTGACTTTTAATCTCAGAGTTTTGACTTTTAATCTCAGAGTTTTGACTTTTAATCTCAGAGTTTTGACTTTTAATCTTAGAATTCTGAATTTAAATCTCAGAATTCTGACTTTTAATCTCAGAATTCTGACTTTTAATCTCAGAGTTTTGACTTTTAATCTCAAAATTCTGACTTTTAATCTCAGAATTCTGACTTTTAATCTCAAAATTCTGACTTTTAATCTCAGAATTCTGACTTTTAATCTCAAAATTCTGACTTTTAATCTCAGAATTCTGACTTTTAATCTCAAAATTCTGACTTTAATCTCAAAATTCTGACTTTAATCTCAGAATTCTGACTTTAATCTCAGAATTCTGACTTTCAATCTCAAAATTCTGACTTTAATCTCAGAATTCTGACTTTAATCTCAGAATTCTGACTTTTAATCTCAGAATTCTGACTTTTAATCTCAAAATTCTGACTTTAATCTCAAAATTCTGACTTTAATCTCAGAATTCTGACTTTAATCTCAGAATTCTGACTTTCAATCTCAAAATTCTGACTTTAATCTCAGAATTCTGACTTTAATCTCAGAATTCTGACTTTCAATCTCAGAATTCTGACTTTTAATCTCAGGATTCTGACTTTTAATCTCAGAATTCTGACTGAATTCTGACAGCTAACAAACATGTTAGCATCCAGCCGTAGCCATGTCTGTTTTATAGACTACCTCTCTTTTAATCACCTTCTGCTCTTCCATTAATGAAATAGCATCACCAGGGACCCTCAGGGACGTAAAAAGTCTCTTAATTCCATCATTTTCCACCAATGTGTTCCTGTTCCTCCCAAACTACTCACATCTTTGTCAGTGAAGCTGAGAGCTCCACATCTCTGCCTTCATGGGGCCCATCTACATTAATTCTATTCTATTCAGTTTATTTCTATAGCTCCAATTCACATCATGTCATCTCAGGTCACTTTCCAGTTCAACCAGATCATCCAGTCAGATTGATTCAAAGTTTTCTATCTAAGGAAAACCAGCTGATTGCATCGACTCATTGACTCTTCAGCAATCCCTCCACAATTTGAGATTAAAGTCAGAATTCTTTTTTCCCATATTAAACTGCAAAAAAATGTTAAAATTAATCAACTTTTTTTTATTTTTCCTCTTTTGGAAACATATTTGCGTAATGTTACGACTTTAATCGCGTAATTTTATGACTTTATTCTGGAAAGCATTAAATCTCTAGTTCAGCTCTAATACTCCGTCCTACCGAACATAAATATTCTGGATATTTTCATTAACCTTCTTCTTAATCCTGTAATTCCGCTAAACGAGACTTGACTGGATGTTTAAATAGAAACGAGGATAAACTGAGGAGACAAACATTAAAAAGTCTCTGAGTTTCAGGCCGTGTTGGAAAATACGCCAGTAAACATCAAACGCTCGATAAAAGCCGCTTCCTGACGTCGTTCTGCGCGTTTTTTCTCGCTTTTTATCCACAGAGTCATTAAAAAATGACGTTTTGTTTTCTGTGACAAAAGAAATTAACGAATTAAAGGAAATATTGGGGAGAAAACTTACAGTTCAGCTGATCGACACGTTTAACTCCGGTCCATGTGTTTTGTTGTCGTCCCGGTTTACGACAGCGCCGTAAATTGTTTATGGTTGCTGCAAAAAGTGGTGGATGTTTGTTGTAAAATAAAAGCCTCACTTCTGCATTTTTTATGTGTTGTAACTCTTTAATTTTCTAAACTGTGTTCATTAAACCACAAATGTGCTGAAAACACTTTTTGTTTCTAACAATTTAAAGGACCAAACCTCCGAACTAAAACCCGATAAAATATATTTTATATTTAAATTTGATCTTCGATAAAATAAAAATGTTATATATCTATAGGCTGTTTTATTTGTACCTGTGTTCGTGTTTAAAACCCTCGTTGCGCATTTCAGTGGAGAACTTCATTACCCAGAATGCTTTGTTAACACGGGATAGCGTTACCTTGTTGCATAGCAACGCGTTAACGGAAAAGGAGAAACTACAGAGCAACGTTTATAGTTTTAAACACTGAAAAAACGAAAATAATATAATTTATTGCTTATAAAATCTCGTTATTTTTTAAAGTAGTGATAAAATGTTGGCTAAAAACAGGATTTCAGTTGGTGAGCCTGAAACCACATCGACTCCAGCAGAGGAAGAGCCTGAAGGTCTGTTTGGGTTTTAAGTTTGACAGTGAAATCATTTCTATCTCCATCACTGCTCTGCTTTAAAGGAAAACTCCACTCACATTCAGAGTTCAAACTTCTGAAAGTAATTTAAATATAAAATTATTCCATACTGTTACATAAATTATCAGTGTTTTTAATTAAGAGTAATTTTCGTTTGAATGTGCTTTACTGGAACACAGAGGAGGATTAGGGCCACTGAAAAAATTTAAAAAAAGTTAACTGATTTTTACATTTTATTTCAGTATTAGCAGAATTCTGACTTTAATCTCAAAATTCTGACTTTAATCTCAGAATTCTGATTTTTAATCTCAGAATTCTGACATTTATTCTTAGACTTCCTATTTAACCTCTGAATTCGGACTTTAATCTCAGAATTCTGAATTTTAATCTCAAAATTCTGACTTTAATCTCAGACTTTTAACCTCAGAATTCTGACATTTATTCTTAGACTTCTGACTTTAATCTCAGAATTCTGACTTAATCTCAAAATTTTGACTTAACCTCAGAATTCTGACTTTAATCTCAGAATACTGACTTAATCTCAGAATTCTGACTTTTAATCTCAGAATTCAGTCAGAGTGACTGAATGATAAATTTCCCTCTCCGTGGTCTAGGATCGGACAATAAACCCGAGACTCAGCAGCAGTCTGGGGGGGCATCACAGGAGCTTCCTGCAGACATGTACTACAACTACGAGAAGCTGTGCTCCAGAGCCACCGTCACACCCGACTCTGAAATCCCACAGAACCTTTTAATCCTCTCGTATCCTAATCTGGGTCACTTCAGATTATAATTTCCAAATCTGCTTTCTTTCCATCTTCATGAAACTACATTAAATCCATTGTAAAATGTACAAACAAAGACATTAAGTATGTCCAGATCTGACATTGATATCAGTATTTAATCCCATATCAGCCAAACAACAAATATTGACCAATATTGGCCTGCATTTGTAGTAATAGGGATTCATTGAGGTCTTTGTTAGCCTGAAATATCCAGAACTTGCCTATGCCTCTGAAAAGAGAGTCATTTGTTGGCCTGGCTGACCAGACCAGTCCCCTGAGAGCTGAAACCTGAGTCCACCTCCTCTGTTTAAGGTTGCTTTTTCTCTCTTAACATAGATGGCTTCTTTCACACCCCTTTCAAACCACCTGCCTTCTTTGTCCAAAATGTGAACATTCTTGTCCTCAAACTAATGTCTTTTGTCCATAAGGTGTAGATGGACAGCCGGGTGTTGTCCAGAGGAGGGCGCTCTTGTGTTGGGCCATGCGTCTGTGGAGAGGTTGTTACTTTCTCCAATATAAAGATCAGAGCATTCCTCACTGCATTGAACTGCAGACACCACTCTGCTCATGTGTGTATGCAGTTTAATGCAGCTTCCTGGATGGGATGCGAAACGTCTTTAAACCTGGAAAAAAAATCTGCCTTTACAATTACAAGAATAAAGTCGTAAAATTACGAGAATAAAGTTGTATTTTATGGCAACTCTTCCAAGAAGCCCTTTCTTCCCTAAAGTGAGGAATGTGGAGCATCATGTGAAGTTCTACTTTAGCATCGGTTTGACAAATCAGGAAATCTTTTAGCAGCAGCATCAAACTGGGCAGGATGTCAAAGTGGACTCTGGTCCTGATTGGTGGAGCTGGTTGGCCGTCATCTGCTGGGCAGAGCTCCAAACTTTATTTCTGAAACGGGTTGTTGAATGTTTACTTTATTCTCGTAATATTACAGCTTTATTCTCAAAATGTTCCGACTTTATTCTCGAAATAATAATAAAAAAGAATCTCCTGCCTGGCCTTTATACTCTGTCATAGGATTTAGATTTAATTTAAATTCAGTTGATTTCTATAGAGCCAATTCACACGTCACTTCAAGGCCTTTCACAGAGACAAGTTGAACAGATGATCCAGTCACATTGGTTCAATGTTTCCTATCTAAGGGAAACCACCTAACTGAACAATAGGACCTCCAGCTTCCTAACTTTCAATCCTGGATTTAAAGAAAACTCTGCAGATTACAGATTGAGGTTTGATTTGAATAAATCAGAAATTACGTCTGATTGGACTTGATGCTTTCTTTAAAGTTGTCAGCTGGAGTAGGGAGTCCATCTTTGGTGCCACCGACCAAAGCAGGTGGACAAGTTACCAGCCTGTGTTAGAGCTGATTGCCTCTATGAAAGAAGTATCAGAAAAAAACTGAATAAAGTTAGGTCAGGAACAACCTGCCTGCAGATGAGCTGAAGAACATCCAGTCTGATACATAGATATACATACATTAGATGTTTAATTGTCTCTTGCAACCGGCAGCAGCGATATGCAACCTGTGGAAACATCCGGACAGTTCTTGTTCTGCTCCCTGACTTGTCCCTCCTTCAGTCACTCGTTTGGATACGACAGCCGTCGCAGGTCCAACCTGAAGCTGCTGGACGAGTCCACGCTGATGTTCATAGCAGGGAACCTGCTGGTCCTGCTGGACGTTTCCACCAGGAAGCAGAGATACCTGCGCTCCTTCAGCGGAGGAGGAATCGGCGCCATGGCGGTGAGGAAACGGACGCTTACAGACATGTTTCTGTATTAGCTGCGTAAAAACAAATTTTTCCTATGTTTTGGTGTTAAAAGGTGCACCCGACCAGAGAGTTCTTCTGTGTGGCAGAAAAAGGAGCCCAGCCCAACATTGTGGTCTATGAATATCCCTCACTAAGACCTTACCGCCTCCTCAGAGGTGAACCTCTCTGTTATTTCTTTCTCTTCTTTCTTTCCAACTGTCTGAAGCTCAGGCTGCAGTTTTTTCTGCCTTCAGGTGGAACAGAGAGCGAGTACAAGTCTGTGGACTTTAACCTGGATGGGAGCCTGTTGGCCAGCGCGGGCGGGGCCCCGGACCACAGGCTGACTCTGTGGAAATGGAGGCAGGAGAAGGTGATGCTGGTCTCAGAGGCCATGTTCCAGGAGATCTACAGGGTCAGCTTTTCCCCGTACAACCCGGCTCTGCTCGTCTCGTCTGGATCGGGGCACATCAAGTAAACCGCAGATTTGTCTATTCAATGAAGCTAAAAACAGATTTTTAGTGTATATATATATATATATATATATATATATATATATATATATATATATATATATATATATATATATACATATACATATATATATATATATATATATATATATATATATATATATACATATATATATATATATATATATATATACACTCACCGGCCACTTTATTAGGTACCCCATGCTAGTAACGGGTTGGACCCCCTTTTGCCTTCAGAACTGCCTCAATTCTTGGTGGCATAGATTCAACAAGGTGCTGGAAGCATTCCTCAGGGAGTTTGGTCCATATTGACATGATGGCATCACACAGTTGCCGCAGATTTGTCGGCATCACATCCATGATGCGAATCTCCCGTTCCACCACATCCCAAAGATGCTCTATTGGATTGAGATCTGGTGACTGTGGAGGCCATTTGAGTACAGTGAACTCATTGTCATGTTCAAGAAACCAGTCTGAGATGATTCCAGCTTTATGACATGGCGCATTATCCTGCTGAAAGTAGCCATCAGAAGTTGGGTACATTGTGGTCATAAAGGGATGGACATGGTCAGCAACAATACTCAGGTAGGCTGTGGCGTTGCAACGATGCTCAATTGGTACCAAGGGGCCCAAAGAGTGCCGAGAAAATATTCCTCACACCATGACACCACCACCACCAGCCTGAACCGTTCATACAAGGCAGGATGGATCCATGCTTTCATGTTGGAGACGCCAAATTCTGACCCTACCATCTGAATGTTGCAGCAGAAATCGAGACTCATCAGACCAGGCAACGTTTTTCCAATCTTCTATTGTCCAATTTCCATGAGCTTGTGCAAATTGTAGCCTCAGTTTCCTGTTCTTAGCTGAAAGGAGTGGCACCCGGTGTGGTCTTCTGCTGCTGTAGCCCATCTGCCTCAAAGTTCGACGTACTGTGCGTTCAGAGATGCTCTTCTGCCCACCTTGGTTGTAACGGGTGGTTATTTGAGTCACTGTTGCCCTTCTATCAGCTCGAACCAGTCTGGCCATTCTCCTCTGACCTCTGGCATCAACAAGGCATTTCCGCCACCAGAACTGCCGCTCACTGGATGTTTTTTCTTTTTCGGACCATTCTCTGTAAACCCTAGAGATGGTTGTGCGTGAAAATCCCAGTAGATCAGCAGTTTCTGAAATACTCAGACCAGCCCTTCTGGCACCAACAATAATGCCACGTTCAAAGTCACTCAAATCACCTTTCTTCCCCATACTGATGCCCGGTTTGAACTGGAGGAGATTCTCTTGACCATGTCTACATGCCTAAATGCACCGAGTTGCCGCCATGTGATTGGCTGCTCCACAACCACTATTGAGCATTTTCTCTATGGATACACTTTACATGCACAAGTTCACCCTCACAAACAACTACAGGTGCTAGGCTTCAGGTACTCAGAGATTCACTTCCAAACAGAAACCCCACATTCATATCTTCAGGTAACACAGAGTACATGTCAGACTTAATAATATTACTTTAGCGATAGTTTCAAGGTGTTGCTTCATTGTATATCTCGTACCGTGTCTTTCGGTTGTGCTGTTCTTTTTTCATCTCGTTGCAGGTGATGAAGCAGACAGAAAATGTTTTTTCATTGTCTCCTTTCTATCTCTTCTTTCTTTCATCTTTTCTCTTTTTTTCCTTTTTCTTCTTCTGTTTTTCTGCTCTATTTACATTGCAGTGTCCATATAAACTGTAAAACTCCCTGCATAATTATAATAAAGCAATTTATATGCATGAAACAAGTGTAGCAGTATGGCAATTGCCGTACTGCTACACTTGTGAAAGTAAAATCTGTTGGGCTCTTTTTGGCATCAAGACAATTATTCTTATTGCCATATTGCCAGACAGGACACTGTTAAAAAATAAAAAAAATAATGAGGACACAGAACGCACAAGTACACAGAATGAGAAAAGATCTCAGGGAGAGCAGAGAAGGGTTCTGATACCAGCAGAACTACGAATGATCAGATTTTCCATCTTTCCGTCAGGTTTTGGAAAATGGCCACCACCTTCACAGTGGTCAAACTCCAGGGAGTCATCGGGAACTTTGGGAAAACTGCAGCGACTGACATCGAGGGCTACGTGGAGCTTCCAGATGGGAAGGTGAGCTCCAACTTTCTGGACGAACCTGCAGTAGTGTCCTTGTTCCCTAAAACTCTGTTTATGATGCAGTAAAGTTAAAAGAGGTTGAGAAAACTGTGAGAGAGGCTGACTTTCCTTCAGTTCCTGGATTAGACCGAGTCTAGACCAGGAGGGGAGGATTTAGGAAATGTGGGGCCCTAGGCAAAAGCAGACAGGGGGCCCTATGAATTAAGAAGACAACATCAAACAGATCCATTATCCAGATAGAGAAATGTTAATAGAATAGACATCCATTATCTGTTCTAGGTTGTGTCCCTCTCTTCTTGTCCCTTTTCTTCTTGTTTTCCTCTCTATGTTTTGTACTCAGCTGACTTTTCATGCTGTCTCTAAAGGAATGAAAGATTTTTTCCAAGCACTAAGCTCACTTAGCTGATTGCTCCTTCCTGTGTTTCCAAAAAGGCCAAAGTAAATAACCCAGTCCTTCTTTTCACTGTAGACAAGCCATGATCTGCTTATCTGTTCTCCATTTTTCATTTGGATGAAATAATAGCTGCATGAATCATGACAGCAGACAAGATAGAGGAGAGCAGGAGGCGGGGTTACCAATCTACTCGCTCTGGAGAGCAGATTTTAGATGTTGTCTCCAAAGTCTCCAGTAGCAGAAAAAAGTCTCTAGATTTGGCGCTAGGAGCTTTTTAGAAATCAAAGTGCTAGAGGGGTCTGAAAAGTGGCTAAATATAGTGACTAAAGCGCTAAGTTAGCAACACTGCTCTTTGCATGGTTTGTTTTCAAATGGTTTGCTGCTGTCTGGTTGGACCTTTCTGAACATGTGCAGCAAATGGACTGATCCATTATGGTGGACACATGTGGGGGGCTGAGACATACTTAATATTATCAGCGTTCCGATGGCATTTTAGCGAAAGGATTTTTATCAAAAACATAATTAATGTGCAGTAATAAGGAATAGTTGTATTAACCATAAATGGAAACCAAGTTTTATGGGGCCCTCAGGAACTTGGGGCCCTAGGCAACTGCTTAGTGCCTAATGGTAACCCCCCCCCCCCTGAACAGGAGAGACTAACATGCGGCTCGTGGGCCACTTATGGCATTCTGAATTATGTTCTGCAATCCTTGATCACAAATCTAGATTTTGAACAACAGCAACTGATGGAAGGGAAAATTTTTTAGAGTTCTGATGGCAAAATGTCCACCGAAAAAATACTATCTGCCTAAAGTGGCCTTAAAACCCCCATGAACTCATGACACCATATTGCTTCTGATAACGATAAATGAGTCCTTTTCATTTTCCTGATTGTCAACGATTCACAGAACCTTATTCTAGTTTAATGATGAGGAAACAGAAATAAGAAAGAAGTGTTGATTCTGAAAATAATTGTGTTTTGCTCCAAAAAGTGCTTTGAACTGGTAATGATGTTCTGGCCTCCTCCCGTTAGGTGGTGTCGGGCACGGGGTGGGGCAACCTGCTGCTGTGGGAGCGCAGCACGATCTGGGCGGAGATATGTCGGAAAGAGGGGGGGAAGTGCCACGCTGGGACGGTGCAGCTTTTCACCCTGGAAGATGGACAGCTGATGACGTTTGGTTCTGATGGAGCCATCCGGGTAAAGCAGACATGGACACAAACGCAGACATCCCTCTAAGAAGTGTGGAGTTGAGGAGGAAGCTTAGACTCCTGCAAGAGAATGTTCAAATTTATTTAACATCCTCAGACGGAGAGAATAGCTCTGACTCACCTCCTTCCTCTACAGGCCTGGGACTCTGAGCTGATCAACAGCGCCGACATCAATGGAGACAGCGGCACCTTCGAGATGGAACCCATTAACGAGTTGGTGGTCGGACACAACGTTTGCCTTGTTTCTGTGGTCAGGAGCGCCCAGCTGGACTCCATCTACTTCGCTCAGGTCTGGAGGAACCGCTCACCATGAAGACACCTGTAGCTCAGAGCAGGTTCCTCCAAGTTCTCCTCTATTTGCTGTCCTGCAGGATTCTAACGGAGCCATTTGGAAACTGGACCTGTCTTTCAGCGCCACGGTGAGCTCTCTACAAAACCGTCCATCCGTCCGTCCATCCGTCCCACTCTCATCCCTTTAACGCCTGTTGTTGCTAGTAAACAACAAACCGCTTGTATTACACTGTAAAAAAAAATTAATCTAAGTCAATTTTCTTGAAATAAGAGCATTTTTTTCTTGAATTGAGCAGGTAAGTGAGAGACTTTACCATTGGGACAAGAAAATGTACATTTAAAGCTTAAGGGGATTCATATTTAATGTCAAATCATTCTGGCTTAAACATGTATATAAATGTTCTCTTTATCAGACCATATTGTCCCAAAATTTTGAAAATATTCCCCCCCAAAAAATAGAAATCCTGTCTTAAAATGGCTCTTGTTTTTTCCGTTATCTTATTAGTTATACCAGTTAGTTCTACCTCAGCCTGATCACCTAAATTCGGCCAATCATATATCAACGGTCATCTGTCAATCAAATATTTTCGGTCATAGCATCTTGATTCATATGTCGCAGCTAATATACGCAACGGTTGAAATCAGAATCCTTTCCTTTCCCATTGAGTTGCGTCCCAGTGTTCACGGGGATGGACGTCTGTGTCTTCGGCAGGCGTAGAGCTAACAGAACTGGCAGCGTTGCTTGGCAAGGGCTCAAACATGTACGGCTGGAAGCCTTCTACACCAAACCAAGCTTCTGCCGCCCTGGCGTCCTCTTCCACAACATCTTCGTCCCCGCTTTCCTCCTCTAAATAAAAAATGGATGACGGAGGAGACTCATCCACGACCTCCGACACTAAACTCTCCTCCTCTTGCATGTTTCCGCTGTCCATAGCGTTCCTTGACAGTGTCGTTTCTAAGTCACCAATTTAGTGCTACTTGGTCCCAATGGAATTTCCCATCGGGAACCTGCTAGCACTAAGTTGGTCATTTTTCTTTAAAAAGTAATTAGTCATAGTTACTAGTTACTTCTCCCAAAAAGTAACTGAGTTACTCCACAATAAAAGTAACTGAGTTACTAGTAAAAGTAACTATTGCGTTACTTTTGCGTTTCTCGCCCCCGTAACCTAGCCTGGGTGCCATTCCGAACTTAGTCCCGCCCACAAAGTTTGAGGTCGGGAAGTTCGGTCTGGCATTGCTCCATAGTAGCGCGAGTATTATCGCCCACCGTCAGGCGATCCAATCAAATTGTCAGGGCGGGCTTTATACGATGATGGACAGATGACCAACAGTAACGTAATCAACCACGTGACCAATGCGCGCTTGGGTGACAACAATAATGTCTGCCGCTGGAGAGTTGAGGTGAGTAGATTCTGCTACTAGGTCTGTTCTAGAAGATATCGACAGCAAATTAATTTTAAAAGAGGAACAGAGAAACGCGATCAAGTCTCATCTTCTTATTCTAGGCGTGCAACTGCACGCTTTGATTTTTGTTGACAACAACTATGCCTGGCTTAACATACGTCACGCACTCCGTTGCTCTTATTGGTTGTAGGTCTATCCAATTGAGTGCAGAGGCATTTTTTTCCCTGGTTCGTTTGAAACACGCCCCATAATCACAGCTCTATGGAGCAGCATCAGACTCAGATTCTGACTAGAATTGAGTAGGACTACGTCAGGCTACCCGTAACCCTCACCATCCAGCCCCCACCTTCTCGCCGTGTTTTTAAAGCCAGCTGAATAGAGCGGACGATAAAGACAAGAACCTGCAGAGAGTTTAGCATTTATTGCAACTCAACATAAATGACATCAGGGGGGAACGCTATCTGACGGGGTTTATAGGTTCCCCTCTTCTTAACATGGGGGTGACACTATCTGACAGAGATGGGAAGTAACGAAGTACAAATACTTCGTTACTGTACTTAAGTAGATTTTTCTGATATTTTTACTTTACTTTACTAATTATTTTTATGGCGACTTTTTACTTCTACTCCTTACATTTTTACACAAATATCTGTACTTTCTACTCCTTACATTTTAAAAAATTGGCTCGTTACTTTAGTTTTGAATCATTTCAATGGAGTTACCGTTATTATTTTTCACGCCATCAATACCAAATTCAATCTAATTGGATGGGAATCTACGTTGCATTTGACGCACCACTACAAGATGAATCGACAGATTCGGCGGTATTCATTGGCGGCAAATCATTGCAGCTTGGTGGCGGTGGCGTTAGCATAGTAGCATGGACGACGAGATGATTGAAAATGAACACAACGGAGATCTAGTCCTATTGGCAGACATCCATTTAAAATGTAGGCAACGGCAAGTATCTGTATCTATCTATCTATCTATCTATCTATCTATCTATCTATCTATCTATCTATCTATCTATCTATCTATCTATCTATCTATCTATCTATCTATCTATCTATCTATCTATCTATCTATCTATCTATCTATCTATCTATCTATCTATCTATCTATCTATCTATCTATCTATCTATCTATCTATCTATCTATCTAGATTTCTCCCTTTCTCCATATAGGCTAATGATCGTTCACGCTCTCCGTAGTTCTCCTGTGGCGCGAGCTCAGGGCGGCTGTTACACGCCTTTAGTGAGCATGCGCGTTTCCTGTGGCTTGCGTGGTGAATCGTGCCGCCTGCGCTGTGCGGAGATGCAGGGGAAACCGTATCTGATGTTGGAAACACAGCTCGACGTAACACCGGTATTTCCATCTGGAAAACGCCGTTTTGCTGCTGGAGTCCTCCTCACTCTCCATCTCTCTGTGTGTGCTGTACGTTAACACCCGCCAGCAGAAACACCCACCTACCCAACTGACAGGCGGAATCTCACTATACGTCAGCCATTCTCATCCTCCCCTCTCTCATGACAAGGCGCGCACGAGTCCTAGCATGAAAAAATGGTTAATTGTGCGACCTGAGTAACGCGCAGTAACGGGGTGTCGCAATGGTAACTGCGTTGTAGTTACAGTCAAAGTAATTAGATTACTCGTTACTAAAAAAATGCAACGGCGTTAGTAACGCCATTACTTTAAACGCTGTTACTACCATCACTGACTAGCACTAAGTTGCTAACTGGTTAGCAAGATGCTTCCGACAAACCGGCCACAATAAAACTTGCTTGCGAACCTTCCGCTACAACAATCCCGCACCCTTGATAATCGACCAATCACATTCACTTAATTCACTCGGGTAAAGTCGGGCACCACTCTGGAGAATTCGGAAATGGAATCGTTGGAACAGCCGCTTCACTACGACTTTAAAATTAGAAAATAAAAACAACTGCAGTCTCTTATTTTAAGTGCATAATATCTAATGTCTTATTTTAAAAATGCTCATTCCATTGGCAGATCATCTTATTTCCTACTCGTATTAAGGGTAAATACACTTATTTTAAGATATTTTTACTTGTTTTCGAACATTTTTGCAGTGTAGGCAAACAGCCACCATAGCATCACCCCAGTGCTAGTTACAGTGGATGTAATTATGTAGTTATAACTGCTGTTACAAAATATATTCTACCTTCATTTTTATTTATTTAGTAACATTAACCATTTTCATTTGGCATCTCAATGAAGGGAAAAACACGCACAAAATGTATTTTTTTTTATGTACATGTATATCAATTCAGGCTTCAAGGGGTTAAATCAGTTCGGGGTTTATTTCTGTTTAGGCTGCAGATCCAGAGTGTCTGTTCTCCTTCCACTCCGGCGCCATCCAGGGCCTGGACGTGTCAAAGAAGTCCCACCTGATGGCCACAACCACCCTGGACCGTGAGTCCAGCTTCGCCGCACCCTCTCACTAAAGGCTCAGACCCGGTGCTGCAGCTGTCTGTGTTCCTTCTGTCCAGGTTCTGTCAGAGTCTTTGATTTCTTATCTCAACGGGAGCTCATAGCGACCCGCTTCAATCAGGGCGGAACTGCGCTCAGCTGGGCTCCACCTCTGGTGAGTGTGAATTGGCAGCCTCGGACTAACCTGACTCCGCCAGATGGATATGTGGAGCAAATCCATCTTCGTTAGAAGTAATTTTGGGAAGGGGCGAAAATACTGGTTAGCTGATTGGCCTATGTTGGTGATAGATGGGCCAAATAAACCAATCAGATCAACGAAGCATATGACGTACTAACAGAGCAACGACGAAAACACAACCACAAGCCAGGCTACTCTTGCTGAAACCAGTCGGGAGAAGAGCAAAAACATCTTTTCCTCTGAGAAAAGCCTCCAGAGCAGTGTTTTGCTCTTCTTTCAGTGAAGAAATACTCTGTAATTCCGATTAAACTTGCTCGATAGCCACGCTAACGCTAGTTTCATCGGCTGAAGCCGCCATGTTCTTTAGACTGAACTGTCGCGCTTCTCGTTGCGTCACACCTCAACCCGCCTCAAAGCCAACGCTGATTGGACGTTCGTTTGGTGAACGGCTCCAAATTTTCTTTAACGGAGAGTCTCCAGACTGATTAGCGAGTGAAACCTTGAAAGCTCGCAAGATCAGGATGGTCTCACCAGGCTAGCCTCGGACTGGGGAAAAGGAAAACCAAACTGGTTTTTACTGGTGTGATGAGGAAAAGCGGAGGGATTTGTCGAGGTTTCAGATCTGAAGCAGAAAGAGGTTAAAACAATGTTAGAGTGAAAAGTTTGTGTTTTTTTTGGACGCTCTGGAATGGGGCTCCATGCCCTCAAAGGTTGGACCATGCTCGGTCCAAAGCGGGTCCTTAACAGAATCCAGATCTAGAACAGAACACCTGGAAATGAAAGTAATCAAAGCCAATCAAGCCTCAGCTTGAATGACATGATGTGTTAGAAGCATCCCTCCATCTGCTGGACCCGAATGTCCATCAGGGTCACGGGGTCAGACAAACTTCCAGGCTTAAACTCACACCCTGAGGTTCTGCTGGTCCACAGTCTGGACTTAGTTTTTATCATTTCAATGAAAGGACAGTAACTTTTGCAGCTTCTCTGTCTAATATCAGGTCAGCCAGAGCGGAGGTCTACTGGTGACAGGCTTCGAGGACGGAGTGGTCCGTTTGCTGGAGCTCTATGACCCCCAGAAGCTGGGGGGAGCCACGGATCGGAGCCCCCACGCCGAAGCCGCGCTGCGCCTCAGACAGGCCTTCAAACCTCACAGCGCCGCGGTCACCGCCGTGGCGTTCGATCGGAGCGGAGAGATCCTGGCCACTGGGGTGAGTCAGCTGCAGACGCACCAGTTATCCTGCCTGAGGGGCCAGAAGTCTGGATGATCAGAGAAACGGCTCCAGGTGGATTGTTACACACAGAAGTATTCAAATCCAGTCACTTTTTAACCCAAAATATATCATTTTCCTTATTAATAACCAGTGTATGAAGTATTTGTTAAAAACGTAACTAATTATAGTTAGTTACATCTCTAAAATTAACTGCATTTGTAACTCAGTTACTGCATCATCAAAGTAACTAGTTACAAGGCAAGGTAACTGTCCAGTTAATTAAAAAAAATAAACCATCAGTACGCTGCTGAAGAAGTAAAGAGCGACGTGTTCAAAAATAGATGTTACCCATCAGATGGTGTTTTTGATGGTGAGATGATGTGAGGAGCTTCATTAGATGCTTGGAACTGACCTGGAATAATTCTTTGTTCCCAGACATAAGGGTAAGTTTATGTCTTAAATGGTTCTAGGTTGGGGTTCACCCACCGGTGGGGGATGATCCAGGAAATTCTGTGAGTCTTGGTACTGATGGAGTTTGTGGTAGAAGCGAAGGAGTCCAGGTGACCTCAGAGGAGAGCTATCTCTATAGTTCTGCTGCTATAGGCTTAGACTGCTGGAGGACATAGGGACCCCTTTTTCATCATTCTGCTTCATTCTATCTCTATTCTCCCACTCTGCAGAATCTGTTAGTTCAATCTCTAACGTTCTGCTCTCTCTGCTTTTTCTCATAGTAGCTTCATCTGGTCTGTTCACACTGAGCCTGGTTCTGCTGGAGGTTTCTTCCTGTTCAAAGGGAGTTTTTCCTCTCCACTGTCGCTACAAACATGCTTAGTGTGAGGGATTGCTGAAGAGTCAATGAGTCGATGCAATCAGCTGGTTTTCCTTAGATAGAAAACTTTGAATAGATCTGCCCGGATGATCTGGTGAACTGGAAAGTGACATGATGAGAATCAGAGCTATAGAAATAAACTGAATAGAACTGAATGAGAGATGGTGTCCAATGGAGCATTAGAAAGGTTTTAGATGAAGATTAAAAAATATATTCTGACAGTGACAGTGCTGACTCAAAGGAAACTAACAGATGCACCTAAAAGCTTTCATTCATTCCACTCATTTAAAAGCATCTTTTTTACTCCCCCTAACAATCAGATGTCTCTCTGTGTTTGTCTGTGAGACGAAACCTTCTGACATTAGTGGTTTATACTGATAACGTATGGAAAAAGCTTCAGGAATATCATTTCTAGATGAGTCAGATTCATGGAGCAGGTAATATTTGTCCTGTTTGCTGCTGAACTTCTCTTGGTTTTACCATCATCCCCTCCTTCCTGTTCAGAGCTCAGACTGCACCATTTTCTTCTTCGCGGTCGGGGAGAAGTACAGCCCCGTCGGCTTTGTCCGCGTACCCGGCCCCGTCAGAGCGCTGGAGTGGTCTCCTCACTCCCACGTAGGTGTTTTCTCAGATGTCTCCTCCTGCCCGGCCGTGCCTCGACTTTTCTCCTGAAGGAGGCTTCTCTTTCAGAGAGAGAACAGGTTGCTCATCCTGTGCGGCAGCGGCGACGTGGTTGAGGTTCCCGGTCCCGACGCAGGAGCTCCGAAGTCGTCCAAAACCTTCGAGCTCCACCATCTGCCAAGGAGGTCCTTCAGGTTCAGGAGCATCAAATCCCGAATAAAGGTCTGGAAAACCAACGGTCAGCCTGATCGCTCCGGTTCCTTGGAGGACGGTTCTGATCGGAGTGGTTCTACTTTCAGAGAGAAGAGGAAATCACGAGACGTGAAGCAGTGAAGAAGAAGAAGGAGGAGGAGAAAGAGCTTCCTCCCATTCACATCCCAAATCCTCCAAGTCCTCTGTGCTGCGGCTTCTACTCTCAGCCTGGACAGTTTTGGCTCTCAATGGTACAAACTGAGCATCTCAGTTCCTTCAGTGTTTCCTGACAGGCTTTTTTTCAAGAGAGTGAAAATTTCTACAAACCTTCCAACATCTCAGAAGTACGGCAGAGGATTAGGGCCAGTGGAAAAAAACTTAACTGATTTTTAAATTTTATTTCAGTTTAGTATGGGAAAAAAGTCAGAATTCGGAGAAAAAAAATCAGAATTCGGAGAAAAAAGTCAGAATTCGGACTTTTTCTCAAAATTCTGACTTTTTTTCTCAGAATTCTGACTTTTTTCTCAAAATTCTGACTTTTTTTGTCAGAATTCAGTCAGAATTCTAAGAACTGATTTTTAAATTTTATTTCAGTTTAGTATGGGAAAAAAGTCAGAATTCGGAGAGAAAAATCCGAATTCGGAGAAAAAAGTCAGAATTCTGACTTTTTCTCAAAATCTGACTTTTTTTCTACGAATTCTGACTTTTATCGCAGAATTCTGACTTTTTTCTCAAAATTCTGACTGAATTCTCAAAATTCTGACATTAATCGAGAATTCTGACTTTTTTCTCAAAATTCTGACTTTTTTGTCAGAATTCAGTCAGAATTCTAAGAAAAAAGTCAGAATTCTGACTTTTTCTCAAAATTCTGACTTTTTTTCTACGAATTCTGACTTTTATCGCAGAATTCTGACTTTTTTCTCAAAATTCTGACTGAATTCTCAAAATTCTGACTTTAATCGAGAATTCTGACTTTTTTCTCAAAATTCTGACTTTTTTTGTCAGAATTCAGTCAGAATTCTAATTCGAATTCTTTTCTAATTCTAATTCTAATTCGAATTTCTACGAATTCTGACTTTTATCGCAGAATTCGAATTCTTTTATAATTCGAATTCGAATTTCTACGAATTCTGACTTTTATCGCAGAATTCTGACTTTTTTCTCAAAATTCTGACTGAATTCTCAAAATTCTGACTGAATTCTCAAAATTCTGACTTTAATCGAGAATTCTGACTTTTATCGCAGAATTCTGACTTTTTTCTCAAAATTCTGACTGAATTCTCAAAATTCTGACTGAATTCTCAAAATTCTGACTTTAATCGAGAATTCTGACTTTTATCGCAGAATTCTGACCTTTTTTCTCAGAATTCTGACTTTAATCGCAGAATTCTGACTTTTTTTGTCAGAATTCAGTCAGAATTCTGACTTTTTTTGTCAGAATTCAGTCAGAATTCTGACTTTTTTCCTATGTTAAACTGAAATAAAATTTAAAAATCATTTAACTTTTTTTTTTCTTCAGTGGCCCTAATCCTCTTCCGTAGAGAAGGTTCCTTATCAGTCAGATGTTTGCTCCGGTCTGTTAAAGATGTTGAGAAAAACTAAGGTTTGCTGCAAGACTCAGATAAATGTTATCATTTGTATTTGTTGATGGAAAAGGATGTTTGTCATAACAATAACTGCATAAAAACAGACAATGTTAAAGAAGCAGTAAAAGTCTGCAAGCAGGACTGAGATCCTCTTCCCTGGTGTCCGTCCTGCAGGGAGGCTTTGACGCCGGTTTCCTGTATCACTGTAAACTGTCCGAGCATCAGGAAGACGATCCTTTGCAGCGTCAGGACGAGCCCTTCGCTTTCAGACATGTGAACGAGGCAGATGACGATCCTATTTGCTTCATGACTTTCAGGTAACCTCAGAGTAAGTCTTAGACTCGACTTTATTGTCATTTTGTACACAGAGTGTGTACAAAATGAAATTTCATTCAGTACAGGTCTCAAGACATTTCCGATTTGAAAATGCAGCAGAAATCAAAAGTAAACCTGGTGATCAAATGTAAACATAACACTGAGATATGATTTAAAGTTTCCAACATTCAGCACTTTTTTTTAAACCCCATTTTATACAACATTCAGTATTTGGAGGAGGGAGGGGCGCACATCTGCTGCTCAGTGAAACAGTAGAGTCAAAACGAATCGTACCTTCATTTTGCCAGCAAAGTCCTCAACAACACAGAAAAAAGGTGCTGGATTTGTTTCAGTTGCTGTTTTGGGGAAAAAAGAAAAGCTGCTAGACCAGGGGTCACCAACCTTTTTAAGGCTGAGGGCTACTTCATGGCTGCCGAGTCATAGGAAGGGCTACCAATACTGACCTATGAACCGGAGGGATCAGTGTTCACCTACAGTAAATCTCATCCATAAACACTCATTTTTATTCTTATTTTATTCTTTTATTCATTTCTAATTTTCTTTTTAATATTGTCATTTTGAAACCACTGAAATATGATGAAATAGTTAACATGATGAAATAATACATAAATGATTAAAAAGAAGAGCAACAGAATAAAAACAAATGAAACTTAACCCACTGAGTGAGTTCTTCTGTTTTCAGAAGACGAAGAGGGCCCCCCATGTGGTCCTTGAGGGCCCCTTGGTGCCCGCGGGCATCGCGTTGGTGACCCCTGTGCTAGAGGGTCGTTGAGTTGGTAACAGGCGGTCCGTGGTTAGTTTAATACACACTGCAAAAAAATTGAAATCTAAATAAGTCATTTTTCTTAAAGAAAAGTGCACTGATTCTTGAACTAAGGAGGTAAGTACGGAAGAGGATTAGGGCCACTGGAAAAAAAAAAAGTTAACTGATTTTTAAATTTTATTTCAGTTTAACATGGGAAAAAAGTCAGGATTCTGACTTTTTTCTCAGAATTCTGACTGAATTCTGACAATAAAAAAGTCAGAATTCTGACTTTTTTCTCAGAATTCTGACTTTTTTCTCAGAATTCTAACAATGAAAAAGTCAGAATTCTGAGAAAAAAGTCAGAATTCTGAGATTAAAGTCAGAATTCTGACTTTGATCTCAGAATTCTGAGAAAAAAGTCAGAATTCTGAGAAAAAAGTCAGAATTCTGTTTTTTTCCCCATACTATACTGAAATAAAATAAAAAAAATCTCTTAACTTTTTTTTTTCAGTGGCCTTAATCCTCTTTCGTAGGTAAGAGAGACACTTTGCCAATGGAACAAGACAATTTACACTTATATTAATAAAAAATAATTGCATTGTCTTATTTCGAGTGCATATTATGGAATTATCTTATTTTAAGCATAAAAATACTCATTCCAATGGCAAACCAAATCTTGTTTTCCTACTCAAATTAAGGGTAAATACACTTAATATAAGAAATGTTTACTTATTTCTAGATCGTTTTTCCAGTGTAGGTGAATGGGGTGATTAGAGACCTTGCGATGACTCAGCGTTAAAAGAGAGATAAGAATCACTTTATGAAAATATGGCTGCAGCTCGCAAATAGAGCAAACTGTTGTAGAGGAGTTTTCAAAAGTAACATTTATATGAAGTTTTATTTTTTTTTTAAAGATCAAAATCCTAAACAAATATTATTTTGCATAATACAGCCCATTTGAACTTTCTCGTTGTACTCTATGCATTCTCTCTGTCTGCACTAATGAAGATTCCCTCACTTTTTACTGCTAAATGTTATGAAAAATGGGTTATAAATAAAAACAAAAAAGAAATGTTGGAACTGTAACTATACAGTGATATGTTTATCACTTTTTTTTTCATCACAATGTTTTTATCACTGCTGCTTACTTGCACTTTAAAAAATAAAATAGTCTAGAGAGCTGTTCTTGACAAATTTTCTTTTTGTTTACACTTGTGTGTCCTGTCATGATTTATTTAAGGATCTGACCCAAAATGCAGAGAACCACTCAGAGAGCAAGGCAAATGTTTAAACAGGTTTATTATGGTAAGGGTTGAGGGGTTGGATCTGGTACTCAGAGGGCTGGTGAACTGGAACTGGAAGGGAGGAGGGAAGTTCACAATGGTTAGTTCAGGTACCGTGGGAAACTTGGATGCCGTAACGATAACGCTGGTAAGGGACTCACATTTGGAGGGGTTCCTCTCACTTTGAATCCGGTCTGTGTGGGTTGATCCAGAGGTAGTGACTCGTTGGAGAGTGGACAGGTAGACATTTGTTGGACCTGGAGGAGCTATAGAGCGGACTGTCACTCGGAAATCCAGGAGAACTTGAACGGAACTTGTGGAGGTTTATCCCCTGCTCAGTGTGAGACTCAAACAATCCTTCAAGGGGGAGAAGGCCAAACATCCAGCTAGCAGGATGACTTCCTGCCGAAAAGGCAAAGACAAAAACACAAGTTTAGGCTCAGCGAATAACAAAGACTCAGTTTGACTCAGCAAAACTCAGCTTGGCTAGAGTACCCAAAACTGGCAAACACTCTGGCGTCGAGGTAGTGACAGTCCACTGCTTAAGTACTCCTCCCAGTAATGATCCAATGAGATGCAGGTGTGCAGGGAGGACCAACGAGGACAGGGTGCCACCTGGTGGTGGAGGGAGAGACCAACACAAACTGGATTCCTGACAAAATAAAATCTGTCTAAGTCTTTGCATGCAGAAGGAACAGGCTGGATTTCTAGCTAAGTTGGGCCTTAATTATTTGACCTGTTGGGGGCGCTCACAAACTGAGTTGGTGATGTTTTGACAACTGAACCTCAGAAAAACGTCAGTAAGGCCACAGTCACACCTGCAACATCTGGTCGGCATTAAACAGACGTAAAAACCAGGCTGGGTTTGGTCTGGATAAAAAACACAGACGTTTATTTTTTTAGATACTGCCTTTAGATGTTGGCTGCTGCATAGAGGATAACACCATGCTGTTTATGTTCCCTTGTTCCCATCAGCTCCAACAGGCAGCTGCTGCTCTGCGGCATGCAGTCCGGCTCCATCAGGGCTTACCCTCTGCAGCCTGAAGACCACAGCCTCACCTCCATGCAGGCTTACTGGGCCCTGAGCATTCACGACAACCAATATGGACACGTCAGCCACGTCCGCTGCAGCGTGGACGATCTGTTTGTGCTGACGGGCGGAGGCGACGGAAACATCTTCTGCTTCTGTCTGCTTTCTCCAGAGGAGCAAAAGGAAACCCTGGAGAGAAAAGCGCAGATTCCTTCACCACGGGTCGGTTTACGTTCCTTCATTTGCTCCTTTCTGGCGTTTTGTTTGTACTAATGGATGAACACGTTAATCAGGGATGAAATTTGCTGCTGTGTTTGTGCCAAATGCAGGTGGGTCTGGAAGATGAGCCATTGGCTCTGGACATCGAGGACCCGACAGCTTACAGGTAACCTGAAAGAAGTTTGGTAGTTTAATAAAAATACTTGGATTAGCTTCAGGTCTGGCTCAAGGCAAAAGCAAGCTAAGCAGCTGGCCATTACCCTCAGAGGTCCGCTGGTTGCCATGGTCCTTCTCTCAACTTAAGGAAAATTTTTTTATTACTCATTAAATCGGTAAATGGGCCATATAGTGACGCTTAAAAGTATAATGTTCTTGCCTCAAATGAGAAAAGAGAACTTTTAACTTAATACTCTGAGCATTGAAAGGTGCTGCTGCCGCAGTGCATGCTGGGACAGCTGTCAGTCTCAAGAATGGACAAGTCTGCTCTGATGCATGCTGGGTAAAGAGGGAGGGGCCAGAACTACATCCAGGGACTTTGTCCGTTCTCGGTCTGCTGTTCTTGTGAATTGGAACAGGGCTGAGGCTGATGACGTTTCACGAGGACACGAGAACACACAAGTACACAGATTAAGAAACAGCTAATGCCTTGTTTGGCTTTGAAAAGATACAAAGTGGACCAGACAAAAGGGTCCACCCCCCAGTAATGGGCAGTCGTTTGGGACACCTTATGAACAAAGGACATTCTTTGGAGGACCAGAATGTTCACATTTTGGAAACAGAAGGAAGGTGGTTTGAGAGGAGCATGAAGAAAGCCATCTATGTTAAGAAAGAAAAACCAACCTTAAACATGGGTTAGGGTTTCAGCTTTCAAAAACCTACAATGTTAGAGTTGATTCCTTCCTGCTATCATCGCAGCCCCAACCCCTTTACAGGGAAACAGAAGACCATGTGAATTCAACCAGACCAACAATTCCCTCTAACGCCCCCCCCTTTCAGAGACATAGACAGGTATGGGCCATTGCAGGCTAACAAAGAACCCAAACGACTCCACATTCCTAAGGGGCAAAACCGTCCGTCCGGCTCAATTTGAGTGTTTTCTAAGCCAAAACAAGGCTATATTTTTGGTCCACTCTATAAAGCCTGGAACTCAACGCTATTTCTGACATTTTGAATTGAAAAAACTTCCTGGATGGGAAGAGAAACGTCTTCAAACTTGGAATCAAAGTCCAGTGGATTGTTTTTTTAAACTTTTTTGGAAGGATTTCTGGGATTAAACCTTTGAACAAGCTCTTGCAGCTGTGCGTCTCCTTTACCCTGTCTAGCCTTGAAGAGGCCAAACAGGAGGCGAAGAGAGACGACCAACGGCGGGCGGCTGAGCTGAAGGAGGCAGAGAGGCAGAGACAGCTGGCGGAGCTGCAGAGGAGATACAAGAAGGTCCTGAGCGTCAACCAGAGTCTGGCTGAGCACATCTGGCTGAAAGCACAGGTATGGAGAGGAAAATAAAAACTTCGTAGGAGTTCAGGTAATGGAGGAATTTGGTAAAATTCTGGCTCTTACAAGAATAAGAACAGAGAGAGAAACACCAAACCTCTGTCTATGTCATCCGGTTCTGCTCTGGTAGCGGTGTGCTAACTTTTTATGCCTCTTTTACAGCTGAAGATGTTTGTAGAAACTGTTCGAAAAAGAAGAGACAATAGCCCCATTTACGTTATCCTCTGAAAACCGATCCGTGCCGAGCTCGGTTCTTTAAGACCCTTTACACACCACGCTAGCGCAGTTCCTCACCTCCTAGTGGAGATCTACGGTACTACTGCTCTCTAGAGGTGAAGTGGGAAGGAAAGAAGTTTGCAGAGAGTCAGGCAAAGAAGGCAGCCTTTGGTGAATTTACTTGACAGATTTTGGGATTTTATGAAAAACGATAGTCTAATCAGGGCTTACAGATGTTTTAAATCAGACGACACACGTTGAGGTTCATCACACTGCTAAGCATAATCCTCTCTGGATATCATTGGGACGGTAGGGAAGCTAGTATTTTTATGAATGTCTGAAATTTCCTGATTACGGAGGCTGACTGTAAGGAGATGACGCGGCCTCCTCATGCGCTCTTTGTTGTCTGAGAACCGAGCCAGAACTGAACCAGGCTGAGCCCTACGGATGAAATAGTACCAGTTTAGTGCGGTTCGGTCGTGTTTGGCGCGGTCTGGTACAGTTTTGCGTGCCATTAACACTCAACAGTTATCTTGGTTACCGTGCTCGGACTGATCTCAGCACCGTCTCAAAAGGGTAGTGGAAACGGGGCAAAAACAGTCCTGTAATATTTAGATGTACTCAAGAAGGGCTGATACTGAAAGCTAAGGCATACTCATGTAACCTGACTCCGCCAGATGGATTTGCTCCGCATATCCATCTGGAAACCTTCCGTTGAAGTAATTTTGGGAAGGGGCGAAAATACTGGTTAGCTGATTGGCCTATGTTGGTGATAGAAGGGCCAAATAAACCAATCAAATCAACGAAGCATATGACGTACTAACAGAGCGACGACGAAGAGGAGCCAATTGATAGATCAAACTCTTGCCGAAACCAGTCGGGAGAAGAGCAAAAACATCTTTTCCTCTGAGAAAAGCCTCCAGAGCAGTGTTTTGCTCTTCTTTCAGTGAAGAAATACTCTGTAATTCCCATAAAACTTGCTAGATAGCCACGCTAACGCTAGTTACATCGGCTGAAGCCGCCATGTTCTTTAGACTGAACTGTCGCGCTCTCGTTGCGTCACACCTCAACCCGCCTCAAAGCCAACGCTGATTGGACGTTCATTTGGTGAACGGCTCCAAATTTTCTTTAACGGAGAGTCTCCAGACTGATTAGTGAGTGAAACCTTGAAAGCTCGCGAGATCAGGATGGTCTCACGTACTCATGTGGATAGAGTTGGTTAGGCCTATTCAATGAAAGAAAAGCCCACAGTGGTAACAGAAATAACTTGATTCTGAAAAGAAATTATATAATGAACAGTTGAAAGTCAGGCATCGCTTTTCAATCGTGTTTCAAAACAACATTTAAAACAAAACAAACAGACAAAAGAGAAATCTCATAAAATGGAGAAAAATTATGAAAAAGACTGACATAATTTGACCAAAATGACATGTTGAATCAGGGTTTGTCCAACAATTAGCATCAAAGGTGTCTCTAATCTAGTTATCAGTGGGGGGGGGGGTATATATATGGGGTTGTTGGGTGACATGGTGTGTACCACAGTCAACATGGACCAGAGGAAAAAAAGTGCAGAGTTGTCTCAGAAGATTCAAAAGCATATTACATATAAGCGTGTTCAAGGTCAAGGCTATTAGACCATTTCTGTCAGCTTATCAGCTTCCCTCCAACACCTGCCCAACTTGAAATAGCCTGGTTCCATAAAGCCGTAAGGATGCTTGGACAACTCTTCAATTCCAGCTCAGTCTTTACTTTTTTATTTTCTTGATTCATTTGATTGCATCAGATTGAAAACCAGTGATGTCTTAGGAAGAAACAGGAGCTGCTTCTCCATGTTTGGTTCTGGTTCTCATCCAGTAGACCTGAGAGGTCCGGTTGTTGATCAATCCGTGTATCATTCGTTCTTTCTATTTTCAATTGTCAATCAAAAAACAAAAAATAAAAAATTGGTTATTTTGTTTTTTGTTTTTTATGGTTAAACCAAAAACGAAAAAAGGATTGGGTTTTTCATATATCAATTCTAAGCTCCGATCAATAATACGAAATGGAAAAACGGACAGCAACGCAGAATTTGATTTTAATATTTAATCGGTACAGTTTACGTGACCCGGAAGTTTGGTGGAGCGTTAGCTAAAAAAAACAATTGGCTTACCCCCACCACGTTCGATCAAGCTGCACCAGATAAGGCAGTCGGACCTATCAGCCATGGACAGTTACGTTTTATTTCGAGGATCCAAGCGTGTGACTCTTAAGGAGGAGGACATGACAACGGAGAAAATCAGCAGGATTTTCCAGGTATAACTTTTTTCTTGAAACTTTTCTGTGCACTGTACTTTTAACTAGCAACAACAAACAGCTTCTCGATCAACATAGTGTGTGGTTCTAGCGTCGCCATGGTAGCCACTTCATTACCCCAACTGCAGCGCAAAGAGCTATTTCCGGGTCACGTAAACTGTACCGATTAAATATTAAAATCAAATTCTGCGTTGCTGTCCGTTTTTCCATTTCGTATTCTTGATCTGAGCTTAGAATTGATATATGAAAAACAAATCCTTTTTTCGTTTTTGGTTTAACCATAAAAAACAAAAAACAAAATAACCAGTCAATTTTTTATTTTTTGTTTTTTGATTGGCAATTGAAAATAGAAAGAACGAATGATACACGGATTTTGATCCAATGCCAACCAGTCTCTAATGCTTTTTGGAGCTGATCTATTCAATGATTTCTAGACTAACAGAAGGATTTTAAAGACTGTTTTCTGAGATGCATGGAGCCAGAGGAAGGACTTAAGAACTGGGCGGATGTGTTCTACTTTCTTAGTTCTAGTGAGGACGAAGGCAGCAGCGTCTGGATCAGCTGCAGCTGTTTGATCTACTTTCTAGGCAGACCTGTGGAGACGCCGCTGCAGGGAACAATTCTTAAGATGAACGAAGCAGGAAGAAGTTTTTTAGCATTAGTCCTTTAATCCTGCAGATGTTCTTCCGGTGATAGTAGCCCCACTTTTCTCCTGTCTCTATGAGCCTCTGAAGGTTCAGGTCTGAGTACATCGCTGCAAATATAAAATAGATGAATCAGGTCATATTTATCAGTTAGTGAGGTTTATGTCTGTTCAGGAACTCCTCCTGGACCCCTGCTTCTACAAACTGGAAGAGAAGAAGTCTATGAAAGTGATGGAGGTTCAGAAGCAGATGGCCGGGGAACAGGAGCGCCACAGCATCACAAAGCTGCAGGAATGGTACACATGCATACACACAGTCAGAACCAGGCTGGAAGGCTGCTAATCATTCTCTGACATTCCCTGGAAATGCCTACGTTGGTCTTATCAAACAGTTCTAGATGCTAGATATCACAAATGAGAAATGTTTGATATTTAAGACTCTCCTTTCAGGTTTAAAGGCTCCCTGCCGACAGAGACTGTCTCTGTAGTCGGGATAATCAGCGACCACAGGGTCTCCAACTACAGTTTATCAGAGTTTCGCTCAGAAAACGAACCTCCAATCAGAACCGAGCCCGACGGAGGCGAAGAAGCTGCTGAAGAAAAGAGAAAACCTGTAAACCAGCCTTCGCCGGAAGGCCACCAATCAGAAGGTAGGAGACGTCTCTACGGACCAACCGGAGACAGGTTTCTACCTACACTAATGTCCTGTAACGCCGACGTCTAGTGGAGACCATGCTGCTGCCCGCTGTGGTTCCCAAAGCCAGGATCAAACTGGCAGACAGGCAGGAACAGAAGCTCCGACAGGCTGCAGAGCAAGCAGAGCAAGCTTGGGCTAACATAGAGAGGAGGAGGCAGGAATTGGCCCAAATGTGAGTCCGATATCAGGATACTGCTTCCTTCATTGGAAGGACGGTTTTTATTATTCTCTAATGATCAACTGGATTTTCGGCGTGTCAGTATTGCAGAGAAGCCGGAGGAGAACGCTACCGACTCACAGGATGATCAGGATATTGAGGAAGCCAAAGAGGGCATCCAATACTTTCTGAAGCCTGAAGAGATGAGAAAAGAGGTGATCAGATCGTCTCCTTTAGCAACACAGCATGTCAGAAATATGAGCAGAAATGTTCACATCCAAAATACGGCCTAAATGAGCCTAAAAACAGGTCAATATGGCACAAATAGCAAAACATTAAGCTAATAAGTTCATGCTGATCATTTAAAATTCCTCCTTTTAGTTCAAATTTTATTTTAATTTATTTTAGTTCAAATTACTTGTGGAGTAAAAGTATTTTCATGCATTCTTCAGGTTTCATTATCAAACATTTAAAGGAAACGTCCAGTCATGATTCTTGTCATTTCCTTTCCTACTGATTGGCTTTTATTGGTCCTTTAAAGGAAAATTAAGGTCATCAGGGAATAATCAATGGATCATTATCTATACCTAAATATAATACGTTCACGGTGGTTGGATGAATTTAGCGTTAATCAGTAAAAAAATAAAAATCACTCCTGCCATCTTCCAGCAGTGATGTCACGGCACGGTAAGCCTAGCGCCATTCTCCCCGCTTTCCAAGCTAAATCAATGGGAACTACTAGACACATCTGCAATCAACAACAATTATTGAAGATTTCCAGAGGACTTCACCATTGAAATTCACCAGAGCTATAGTGAAACTGACAATGCCCACGTGCATGGCAGCTGGATGCTGGAATACATCGGGTAAAAGTGAAAATAAAGAGTTATTCCACCTTTCTGATTCCTGATCCTCCACGGACGGGTTGGTCGTTGGATCGCCAACTTGAAGAGGGAGGATTTGCCATCGAACTTCTGGCCAGAGAAAAAACCCGTAATATGTAGCCAACATTTGGAAGAAGAATGTTTTCAAGATGACTTGGATAATAGCGCGTTGTGACAAACACCAGATACAGCACTGGGACTTGATCAACAGCCGATACCGCACCGTGACGTCACTAACCAGTAGGTGGCAGTAGTGTTCTTTGACAAACATGGATGCCTCCAGTAAAGCACATTCACATGGAAATTACTCTGAATTAAAAACACTGATCATTTATTGAACAGGATGGAATCATTTCAGATTTAAAGAACTTTCAGAAGTTTGAATTCTGAAGTTAAATTCTAGTGAGTAGCTCCTGAGAAAAAGGAAAAAACGGGGTCTGAGAGTAGACTGAATAAGCTTTATTTATCTCTTTTCACAAAAAAAATAATATAATGATAGCTCCTGAGAACTTTAAACTTTGGGACCAATAGTTTGACAGCATCAACTAGGAGACATGGGCCCCTGTGACGCAGAAAGTATTTAAAATAAATTATACTAAGTGTGAAGTAATAATAGCTTCTGTTACATTTATTTTAAAGAAATTTGTAGTGATGCTAAAAAGTGCATCTGTTTTTCAAAATAAAGGTTTGATTTTTCCAAACTTTCCTCACATAACGATAATTTCAGCCATATTAAGTGATTGGAGGTCATGTTTCAACAGGCCCATGAAAAGAAGGAGGGAATGAACCAGCGGATCCTGGCCTTGCGGGACGTCAAGGTCCAGCTGGTGGCTCAGGCTCAGCACCTGCAGGAGGTCCAACAGGGGCGTCTGGCCCACCTCTGTCAGACTCCGCCCTGGTGGCCAAAAATGTTACCAGAAGAAACCCCAGAGAAACAGCTGCAGCTCAGCCAGGCCAGCTTGGAGCGATACCAGACGCTGAGAGCGCAGAGGTACGGAGCAGGGATGGACCTAATGGACGGGGGGGCAGAGGGACCCCATAGCACAGCAATACTCCAACTATTGGGCTTCATAATGAGGCATCTGAGTAAAGCAGGGGTACGGTTTTCTTATTCCTGAAGCCTTTTGTTTAGGAATGGTAGGGAAAGGGTCCTTCAGTCTGTTTATCTGTGACATCTCCACAGCAGGTTTTATCTAGGAATATTTCATAGGGTGTCCAGCTTGGTGCTTGACATCTTTAGGCTTTGCGAGGTGTCGGGGGGTCTGGGGGTATCCTCTCCTGGAAAAATTTAGAAAGTTAGACTCTGAAACGCTATTTCCTGCATTTCGTGGTGGAATGTATCTAACTTTTGGTCTTTGTTCCAAGACTACTTAGGTCCTGATTAGGGGAAGTATGTGAGCTTGACCAGAGGTTGAAAATTCATAAAGATATTTGGTTGTGTGGCGGCTTTGAGGACCCAAATGCAGTGAGGAGTTGGCACGGATGAGTTTGGATGATTTAATGAAAGTCCAAGGGGAACGGAGGCAAAAATCCAAAATCCCAAAATACTGAAAAAAATTAAAAGTCAGGGAAAATACTAGTGTTGCACCGATACCGATATCAGTATCGGACGGGGCCCCGATACTGCCCTAAAATGGTGGTATCGGTATCGGCGAGTACCAACAAATAGGGCACCGATATCATTTTGAGAGCCATAGGTTTCTTCAACTATTGTCACCCACTCCTGGTAGGCAATAAAAAGTTCTACTGGATTCACTTTGTATTAGATTTGTTCCTGCTTCACAAAGGTAGGCAGCAGCTTGACAAAGCCATGATGGCAATTATTTTACATTATTATGGTATCGGTATCGGCCGATACTGCACAGCCAGGTATCAGGTATCGGGTATCGGGGCCAAAAAAATGGCATCGGCGCAACACTAGAAAATACTTGAGGGGAGCAAGAGACTAGAAAGCAATGGAACAACATCTACAACACAAGAAAGCAGCCCTGACTGAACGCTCTGCTGCTCTTTAAAGCCCAACACTCTGATGAGAAAGATTATCTTCACCTGTGTAGGCGACCCAGGTTCTCCCAAAAGATCCTCTCTGGCAGAGATGCATCACTCGCCCTCAATCACACACACGAACCCTGACAATAAGATCATTTTTAGCTACAATGTTATGTTTCAAAGGTTAATTCAAACAACCAGAAAGTCTAATGCTACGTTCACACCGGACACCATCAAAGAAGCTTCTGCTGCTTCATTTCTGATGTGTCCTGATTTTATCCAAAGCTCTGACCCACATGCAGAAAACCAAACACAGAGACCAGGGAAAAGTTTAGCAGGTTTTATTGAGAGCGAATGAGATGAGTCCAGTGCTGCTCTGAACACTGTGGAACCGGAACTGAAAAGTGAAGGGGAAGATTCTGCGGTTAGTTCAGGCTCAGTGGGAAATTAGTGTCTGATTTGAAGAAGGGGATTAAGGTTGCCGACTCACGCTTCCAGAAAAAAGGGGTCTCTTGTTGAATCCAGTCGGTGTGGGTTGCTCCAGTGAATGTCTTGCTCATTGGAGGGCGGACAGGGTTTACCCAGATTGGGTTTTTTCCTTGGTGAACGGAGGAGCTGACTGCCACTTAGATTTCCTGCGGTACTTGAACGGGTTTTCGTGGAGATGAATCCCCTGCTCAGAGAGAAGCATTTGGTGCTCGGAGAGTCCTTCCAGGGGAGAGAAGGTCCAAAACATCCAGTTTGCAGGATGACTTCCTGCCGAGAGGCAAAGACAAAAACAGCAACGTTAAAACTCAGGTTGACAAAAACTCAGTTTGACTCAGCAAAACTCAGCTTGGCTAGCAGAGATGGGAAATAACGAAGTACAAATACTTCGTTACTGTACTCAAGTAGATTTTTCTGATATTTTTACTTTACTACTTATTTTTATGGCGACTTTTTACTTCTACTCCTTACATTTTTACACAAATATCTGTACTTTCTACTCCTTACATTTTTAAAAATTGGCTCGTTACTTTAGTTTTGAATCATTTCAATGGAGTTACCGTTATTATTTTTCACGTCATCAATACCAAATTCAATCTAATTGGATGGGAATCTACGTTGCATTTGACGCACCACTACAAGATGAATCGACAGATTCGGCGGTATTCATTGGCGGCAAATCATTGCAGCTTGGTGGCGGTGGCGTTAGCATAGTAGCATGGACGACGAGATGATTGCAAATGAACACAACGGAGATCTAGTCCTATTGGCAGACATCCATTTAAAATGTAGGCAACGGCATGAAAAAAGTGGTTTCTACTTTTACTTTTATACTTTAAGTACATTTACAAGCCTGTACTTTGTTACTTTTACTTGAGTAAAGAAGTTTAATCAGTACTTCCACTTTTACCAGAGTATTTTTTAACACAAGTATCTGTACTTTTACTCAAGTACGGAAAGTGAGTACTTTTGCCATCTCTGTTGGCTAGAGTACCCAAAACTGGCAAACACTCTGGCGTCGAAGTAGTGGCAGTCAGCAGCTTAAGAGTCCTCCATTAATGAGGTAACCGTCCGCAGGTGTGTGAGGAGGCCAACGAGAACCAGGCGCCACCTGGTGGTGGAGGGAAGACAAACAAAAGCACAACCCACACAAACTGGATTCCTAACATGATGCCTGTCCACATTTTGGTCAGATGTCCAGTAAAGTGAGTCCAGATGCTTCTGCTGCTCCTGTGTTCAATGCCAGAGAGCAGCTTTGCTATATTAGCTGTGATCAGCGGGTAAAAAGTAGTTAGAATCTCTGTTGAAGTGAGAAAGTCCTCCTGAAAACATGGTCTGTGCAGTCAGTTCATCCAGATTACCATCCTGCCTTCAAAGATTATTTCTCTGTGGGAGCCGCTCAGACCCCCACATACCGGCGCTGCGCTGTCACTGGGAATCCCCAGCAGCAGCTGCCTCAGGCCCGCTCGCCTCTTGGGGGTTTTCCCCTCCTGTTGGTGGCGGCTGGAAGTAGATGTTAGCGTTTTTCAGGTCTGTGCTACAAACTGCAGGCAGCAGGATAATAAAAGCCAACATATTCTGCCGGCAGGTTTCTACATCTTAGTTTAATTTAGGCGTTAATAAACTGTTTCAGAGGAGTGATCATAGCGCTGTGCATCAGCAGTGCTGCGTCTGACTCCCTGCCAGCTCCCAGATCAGCTTCTCTCATTGGTTGATGAGGCGCGTCCAGCAGCAAAGGTTAAATTTTTCCAACTCCATGCTTTGCTCCATGCTTTGAGCAAAGTTTCTAAAGAAAATGAGTGCGTACAAAGCTGTACATCCCAAAAACATGGCATACAATTTTTCATTTTAGTACAGGGAGTATTCAGAGTTTAAAGGTGGCTCCTTTTTTTTATGGTCAAATAGGAAAGACCACATAAGGGCGCTCGCCAAAGGGAAACTTTGGTCCTCCTGGAAGGGCCCTGACTAGTGCTGAAACAATTAATTGTTAACTGGAGTTTACAGACCCAAAAACACGACTTTAGCTGAAAGATCAAACCACTTAGAGCAGAAATTATACCAGAAATGTAAAAAATGATACAAAAAGATTCTTTCGTCTGTCAATATGCTCTATTCAGATCTCCTGAAGTGGAAAAAATGTAGCTTCACCTATTTTAATTCTGTAATAAAATCTTCTTTAAGGGACCGTTTGCTATCCGATTATTAATGGATTAAATTAAAAAAATTATTGACGGATTAATTGCTTAGAAATATAATTGGGCTAACAGTAGCTGACCTTGCTATCTCCATTCCAACCTTTATTCCACCAATCAGGGACTCAGCTCCATCAGCTGATTCAGGCATCATTCAGGCTTTATTTTTCTCTGGTTAAACAGAATGGAGTGTGCGGATCAGGGGGAGCAGGAAGACTATTTGGATTCATTGGAGGAGCTGCAGAGAGAAACGAAGCTAAAGGAGGAGAAGGACAACGTGAGAGAAGAAGAGCGCAGCTCTACGGTTGCTGCAGAAGCCAGAGATGATCAGGAGACCCAGGAGGAGCTGACTGAGCTGGAGGAGGAGCAGCAGGAGGAGGAGGACGTCCAGCTGCTGGTTGAACAGAACGCTCTGATCCAGCAGGTCCTGATCCTTAAAGATCTCATCTTTAATCAGAGGAAAACACAGGACCCATAAATGGATCTCTGTGTGTATCTTCAGATGGAGATCTTGGTTGGCCGATTTGAGGAGGAGCTGCTTCAGCTGCTTTGCCACAAGCTGCATCTGGACAACTGGCTGAAATGGACCGACCTGCAGCTGCTCATGCTCCTCCAGGAGAGACGGCTTCTCCAGCCGCTTCAGGAGGAGGAAAAAACGCTGCAGGAGAAAATCAACAGTTTCACTCAGGAGGAGAACAACCTCACGGTGAAACAGATTTATGTTTTTACTGGTTTTAGTTCGTAGGACCAAGTTATAAAACAGAACTTCATATAAGAGGTCCTGACCAGCAGACCTGTGAAAGATCTGGTCCAGTTAAGGTTCTCTGAAAGAAAAGATGCTGCATTTCAGAACCCTGGACAGAACCAGATATGCTGAGATGCTTCATTATAATATTATTATAACTATTTACTCAAATAGCTGTATTAAAATCTAAAATAGCAAAGAATATGTTGTCTCACAGAAATATGGGTTATTAGTTACACTGCAATATGAATAATAATAAAAACTGCTAAGCCTGTAGAATTAGATCTCAAAGTAATAAAAAAGCAGATTTTCTGCTCTGAAAGACTCGGGTTGTTGCTGGAAAGCACTGCAACCCAAAGACAGTGTTGTTTAGGCAGCCTTTCAGGTTTTAGTTTTACTGTAGTCTTTTTGACTAAAATCCCCCTTATTTTTGGTCGTAATTTAATCATTTCATTTGCAAAAGTTAGAGTCTACCTTTAGTCTGTGTGTTATTTCTCCTTATATAAAGTAAAGCTCATATAAATGTGAAAAAGTGAACACAAAACACATATATTCATCATATAAAAAAAAAAAAAAGATACACATGTGAACATATTCAGCATGCATTATTTACAGGTTATTTCAAAAAAGTTAAAATCAATCCACTGGACTTTGTTTCCAAGTTTGAAGACGTTTTTCTTCCATCCAGGAAGCTTTTTCAATAAAAACAAACAGAAATAGTGTTGAGTTCCTAACCTGACTCCGCCAGATGGATTTGCTCCACATATCCATCTGGAAACCTTCCGTTGAAGTAATTTTGGGAAGGGGCGAAAATACTGGTTAGCTGATTGGCCTATGTTGGTGATAGACGGGCCAAATAAACCAATCAGATCAACGAAGCATATGACGTACTAACAGCCAGGCTACTCTTGCCGAAACCAGTCGGGAGAAGAGCAAAAACATCTTTTCCTCTGAGAAAAGCCTCCAGAGCAGTGTTTTGCTCTTCTTTCAGTGAAGAAATACTCTGTAATTCCCATAAAACTTGCTCGATAGCCTCGCTAACGCTAGTTTCATCGGCTGAAGCCGCCATGTTCTTTAGACTGAACTGTCGCGCTTCTCGTTGCGTCACACCTCAACCCGCCTCAAAGCCAACGCTGATTGGACGTTCGTTTGGTGAACGGCTCCAAATTTTCTTCAACGGAGAGTCTCCAGACTGATCTGCGAGTGAAACCTTGAAAGCTTGTGAGATCAGGATGGTCTCACGAGGCTATTGAGTTCCAGACTTTATGCAGTAGTACTTAGCGGTTCATCTACACTAGAGACTGACATTTTTTCGGGAATTCCCGTGGGATTCCCGTGGGATGGGAGTCAGTATCAGTAACGATCACGTGATTGGGACGGTACAGGATTAAACATTGACGGGAGCGGGAGCAGACCAATATTAACTAAAAAAAAAACTAGGATCGATGCCAAAAAATAAAATAAAATAGAAAGAAAAAAATTCAGTACTGGTGCCGCCATTTTGTAGTTTTTTACTTGAAGCCTACACTATAATGCGAGTCAAAAAAACTACATGACCCAAAAACCAACAGTGCTTCTGCTCTGAGTTTTTCACCTGCGCTCAAAAACAACAATGGAGGGACCAACAGTTACTACAGTTAGAAACAGGAACTTAACTGACCCTTCATAGAAATTCAGATTCAATGTATTGGCAGAAATCTTATTGAAGACATCAAGAATGGCAGTGGTGCAGGAGCGGGAGTCATTCTGAATGGGAGCGGGATGGGAGTGGGAGTAATTTCACCAGGAGTGGGATGGGACAGGGTTTAGATTTCTACTCTGGCCCGGGATCGGGACGGGACACAATTTTTTTCTGCTGGAGTGGGACGGGACAGGAGTGAAAATCCACTCCCATGTCAGTCTCTAGTCTACACCTTATGGACAAAGGAAATTCTTTTGAGGACCAGAATGTTCTCATTTTGGACAAAGAAGATAGATGGTTTGAAAGAGGCGTGAAGGAAGCCGCCAACCTTAAACAGCTTTCAAAAACCTACAATGCAGCGATAGAGTTGATTTCTTCCCACTATCATCGCCTTTAAAGCGGGTTGGAGCTGCGATACTGGCCTATTCCTTTTCAGAGGAATAGGCCAGTATCAGGTATTGCCAATAACGCACTCAACCACTCCCATTTTTAAGGCGTGGAGCTGGTTTTCCAGTTTCAATGTACATGTTTTCTGAGCCATTACAAGGCTTTGTTGGGCTTCTCTATAAAACCCTGGAACTCAACATTTTCAGTTGAGAAAACTTCCTGGATGGGAAGCAAACCATCTTCAAACCTGAAACACAAAGTCCAGTTTGTTTTTTTAACTTTAACTTTTTGGAATAAGCAACTAACTCCTATTTAAATGAACTTACAGCAGCTCTATCGACTAACTAAGCTGTGGGTCGGGACTCCATGAAAGTCACTAACCATCCAGTTGGTATCGAGACTCAAACTGGGAATATTTGGCTCTTTGTTTCATAGAACCTCGTCGTTCTTTGGTTTGTTGAGCTTTACAGGTTCGATTGAATCTGGGGGGAGGGTGTCACTAACTGCCAGCCTCATCCTTCCTGTCTCTGCTTCCTCTCAGCCTAAGCTGGAGGAGAACAAGGAGCTGCTTGAGCTGAAGAGGAGCAGGATCACCAAGCTAAAGGAGACAAAGGAGGCTCTGACGTCAGAATTTAAGGCCTCCCTGGGCGAGGCTCACCTCTTCCGAGATTTCCTGATCTCAGTCTTCAGAAAGAAGGTCCAAAAAGAGGAGGAGAAGGAGGGAGATGAAGGAGGTGGGAAGGAGCAAATCCTGTGGGATTCCTTTTGATCAGGAGTCCTTTCTAACCTTGGTTTCCTTGTAGAAGAAGAAAATGATGAAGATGACGATAGTGACTGGGGTGATTATGGCGATGATGATGATGATGATGACGATGACAGCGACTCTATGGATGACGGCCTTTGTCCTAAAGGTCAGCAGGTGAAATCTTCCAGACTTTTTCAACTCTTTTGAAAGAAGCTGCATCCTCCTCCTTCTGTTCCTCAGGCTGCAATCTGCAGCTGTTTGAAAACACGCTGCAACTGCGTCAGCGCCTCCTGGACGTGAAGCAGCAGCTGGCAGAGGAGGAAAGGGCCGCTGCTGCTCTGAAGAAGGAGACCAACCTTCTAATGCGGAAGGTCAGTCCTCAGTGTTTGCAGCTGTGACCCTTTGCTGATCGTCTCCCTCACGTCCCGCCGTTCGTTTGGGCTTTTTCCTACCGATACTTACAGGCCAGTGAGATAAAGAGGCAACGGCAGGAGGGGGCAGACAGACTGGAATTACTCGGCAATGAGAAGAAGCAGAAAATCAAAGACCTGGATATGATGGTTCCTTTAAAACTGAAACAGGTGAGCGTCCAAAATGGATGAATGAACACGAGCTGTTTTCAGATGTTTCTATCATCCTTCCTTTGACAGCAGAACCTGTCCACACTGATGCCTGATCTATAAAATTCTGCTATGTTTATAGTTTGCTGCGGCTTTAAAGCTCAGCTCTGAAAGGCTCCACCCTCCCACAGCATGATGCTGCAACCACCATGCTTCATTTTGACAAGCATGCAGAGTTTGTCAAAGGAGGCCAGAGGTCCTGCTACTTCTAGATGTTTCCCTTTTTTTCTACATGCATGGAGTCGATCTCTACAGAGTAGGGATGCAGGATATAATCGGCCCCTATCGGTATCGGAAATCTAAATCTTAAATCAACATTAATTGAGACATTTCTAAAATTAAGTCATAAACAATATGCAGCCCTGAACTGGCCTATCCATTTTGGGTACTGAGGCTTTTAATGGGATTGGGTCTGTATTTTCTGAATGTTTAGATACTGTATATGAGATGATAAAACTGAATAGATTGTGTGCCCACATTGCCAAAATGTACTTCCCTTGTTAATGTGTCATTGATCCAAAAAAAGAAAAAAATACTGGGCCCATTTCCCACTAGATGAAGGGCCAGTAGGAGTCAAGGCATCTGTGATCCAGGGCAAGCTTATCAGTACACAGACCACGACTCCACAGGCCTCAGCAGCCTGCTGCAGTGGAACTATTGGAGCTGTCCATGGTGCTACAGCAAAACCACTCCTTCACTATGGCACATTTAATCCTTCAGCTTAGTATTTTATTAGTTTTAACTATATGTGTATGCTTCATAATAAAAATTATGTTTTAACAAGAACAGAGGGTCACATATGAAACTCTCAGGTCAGATAATTAGTGCCAGGAGGAAGAGACAAGGTTTTATATTTCAAAATATGTGTTAGGCTCTAAATGGTGAGTAAATTATCAAGATTTACTCACCACTAAAAATTACAAAAAAAATTATAATTTTTAGCATAATCAAATGAAGAATAAATCTGAAACGTTTCAGATTAAACTTTCAGCACCACTTAGTAGACTAAAAATATTAAATAAAAAAAAAAGAATAGAAATGTAAAGAAAATCTTTAGATTTTCACCATATATAGGGATTTAACCCTCTCAATAGATCTTATAAAGGTAAATGTGATCAATAGTACATTTTTACATGCAATATATAAGTATGTATTTGGATAAAATTATATTTTATTACAATAGCAAAACATACACACTGGAGTAGGGATGCACGATATAATCGGCCCCCTATCGGTATCGGCCTTAGAACTGAATATCGGACATCGGCCCCCCCACCGATATTTAACCAGATATTTGATCAGCTTCTGAGTTTCTAAAGTCTAAAAAAAATAAAAATAAATACTACTTCTTATTCTTCCTCAAAAACTTCTTTTTTACAGACTTAAAAACTTCTAAAGACGAGGGAAAAAATATTGATCCATTAAAATATCCCAATATCATCATATGCTGATATATTGCCATTTAAAAACACCATATCAATCTCTTTTACTAATGAAATATTGCTATATGTCATCGTTATGCTACGAAATCCCCCGAAAATTCACCAAATGTTGCCATATTTTTATATGTTGATATATTGACGCGGTATCGATCTATTTTACTAACAAAATCTCACAAGAATTTGCAAAATATCACGAGAGTTTGTAACAGAACAATTAAATTTCACCAGATTTTGAAAGTAAAATAGATCGATACCGCGTTTTTAAAAATTTATTTGATATCAGCATATGAAAATATATTTGAGTTTATTATTTTTCAAAGTGTCAGAAATGGATAACAAAACTGCTATTTTCAATGACTACTTATTTTTGTCCAGCTTTAACATCGGTATCGATATCGGTTATCGGCTACATGAGTTTTAAAATATCGGCATATTGGATATCGGCCAAAATCCCAATATCGTGCATCCCGACTACAGAGCTCTGCTAAAGTCCCCGTCACGCCTTGATGATTTATCCAGCGTATGCCTGACATTACAGGATCTCCTGAATGCTGACATACGCTGAACTTTCTATGTATTTTTTAAATTTTGGGCGTACACATAGAGCAGACCGCCTGCTGGCTAATCCGGACCCAACCTGATTTAATACATTTATAAATTACTGCTTGTTGTCTGACAACAGTGTCTAAACGTCCCTTGTGCCGCTTCTGTTACTGCGAAATCCCACATCCTCCGCTTCCCCCCGCAGCGCTCCAGACCTCCTGCATAGAGCGAAGCCTACAGCCTCCAGGATTGCTTCGGAGCTCGAGAAGAGCGTGCGCCATATTATCATTAAATTCATAGGAGCTAAACATGCAGAAATTAACTCTTAATTTAATATGACAGATTAAAAAAATCCCCATCAGCATCCAGCAGATGTGCGAATAGTTTGCATCCAATCTTTTACATAAACTGTGTTAGTTTTTTTAAATATATAAGAATTATGCTCTAATTTGTAGTTACCGATCTGTTGTTACTATAATTCTTAATTTGACAATATATATATATATATATATATATATATATATATATATATATATATATATATATATATTTATATATATATATATATATATATATATATATATATATATATATATATATATATATATATATATATATATATATATATATATATATATATATATATATATTTATATATAAATATTTCAATTCAATGTATAACATGGATGCATAAAAACCTCATTTTATTTCAGTGTTAAATTTTGTTTAAAGTAACAGATTATAATTAAAAATGTCTCTAGACCTTTACTGGTTGATGATTTTCTTTATTCGGACCCGCTGATTATTAATTGGGTACCGCTTAGAGTATTCAGAACGAGTCCAGAACTTAAGTCCAACGACAGCATAACTTCTGCATAACGCATGTAATAATCAGTGGATCATTATTTATACCTAAAACTAATACGTTTGAGTTGATTTAATGAATTTAATCAGTAAAAAAAAAAAAAAAGCTATTTTTGTTGATATCACTGAGTCTGGGAGCGGCCATTTTTGCCCAAATATAGTAGCCCCTCCCTCCTGCTATCTTCCAGCAGTGACGTCACGGTGCGGTAAGCCTAGCGCCATTCTCCCCGCTTTACAAGCTAAATCAATGGGAACTACTAGACACATCTGCAATCAACAACAATTATTGAAGATTTCCAGAGGACTTCACCATTGAAATTCACCAGAGCTATAGTGAAACTGACAATGCCCACGTGCATGGCAGCTGGATGCTGGAATACATCGGGTAAAAGTGAAAAAAAAAAAGAGTTATCTCATATTCTAGTAAACTTGCTCCACCCGCGATCGGCCATAATAATTTTTGCCTGCGAGTTTTGGTCTACTACTGGAGCAAACTAAACAGGAAGATGGCAACGACTATTGAACAGTAGCATGATGCACTGCAGCAGCAGCAGCTTTCAATGGAGCGCTCGGTTAAAAGTTAAAAGTTCTCTTTCAGGTGCTTTTGTTCAATAAAAGTAAGTTTTAAGATCAATATTATACTTAAAGCGCCAATATATGGTCCATTTACCAATTTAATGCGTAATTAAAAAAACGATTTCCGAAGTTGAGAGGACTGCGGCAACCAGCGGAGCTCCGAGGCTAACGGCAGCCAGGGCTAACGTTAGCCCGTCTGCAGCAGCCCTCTCTCGGCATAGTCATGTGTGAAGGACCGCTGGCTATGATGCTGAGTTTTGACTCAACTTTGGAATCAGTTTAGGAAGGATTAGACTTGGAAGAGGCTCTACGCTCATTCATTTTTGAGAAGGACGTTTTCGCCGTTTTATTTTTTATTTATGTTATTTAACCAGGAAGTCCCATTGAGATTCACAATCTCTTTTTCAAGAGAGACCTGGCCAAGGTAGCAGCCAAACCATAGGAAGTTCGTACATATTTACAACATATTACATTTTGCAAAATAAAGAATAAAAAAATAAATAAAATAAATAAATAAAAACGACAGGTTTTAACGACAGGCTGTTTGTTTCTGCCCCCCCACTAGCTTCCTGTCGGACTTCCTACGTCACAGTCAGTCGCGCCTATTACTCAGAGCGTTGGCCAATAGCCACAGACATGGTTTGAAAAACAACGGGTTGTTCTCATCAACAATCTTCCGACGTCTCATTCATCGGGGCCAGACTAAATTGCGCATTTAATCTCACATTTAGTCTGGTTTATCAGGCTAGTTATTCCACCTTTCTGATTCCTGATCCTCCACGGACGGGTTGGTCGTTGGATCGCCAACTTGAAGAGGGAGGATTTGCCATCGAACTTCTGGCCAGAGAAAAAACCCGTAATATGTAGCCAACATTTGGAAGAAGAATGTTTTCAAGATGACTTGGATAATAGCGCGTTGTGACAAACACCAGATACAGCACTGGGACTTGATCAACAGCCGATACCGCACCGTGACGTCACTAACCAGTAGGTGGCAGTAGTGTTCTTTGACAAACATGGATGCCTCCAGTAAAGCACATTCACATGGAAATTATTCTGAATTAAAAACACTTAATTACTTTCAGAAGTTTGATTTCTGAATATGAGCGAACTTTTCCTTTAAGAACCGTCCTGGAAAAAGTTTAATTAATCGGGATTTTAGCTGAAAATTGCTGCCAAGTTACAAGAAAATATCCAATGATTTCTGAGTAAGAATTCCATAACAGCTCTAAGTTCGGGCTGTTTAGTTGAAGGAAATGCTGTGAGTTCTGGGAAGGTAAAGTCTGTATTTAATGAGTCGATGCAATCAACTGGTTTTCCTTAGATAGAAAACTTTGAAAAAATTTGGCTGTTTGATCTGGTTGAACTGAAAAGTGCCTTGAGATGATTTGTGTTGTGAATTGGTGCTATAGAAATAAACTGAATTGAATTGTTTAGTGAAAATAAACTGATTACTACATCTTCTCTCCCCCACCTGCCTCCTCACATATGGAGCAGATTAAATTCCTGTCCGATGGCTCTATACCTTCGGATCTGAGCGAGGCGTTGGTGCTGGACCGGACCAGGCAGCCGCTGGAGGTGGAGAACATCCAGCTGAAAGATCAGCAGCATCAGGCTCAACAGGAGCAAAAAAGGCTGATCGTTGACCGCAGGGACATGATCGCCTGCATCAAAGGTGAAATCGGTCGCTGCTTCCTAATCTTAATGCCGGCGGGCCCGCTGCAAGGCCCACCTCGCAACCGCTCATGTTTATCTATTCACAGAAATGGCCAAAACACAGTCACATGGTGTTTCATCTTGAAACAGGGCTTTAAAGTTATTTTTTCACAAAAACATTTTGTTTTATAGCTGTGTAAACATATAAAGTGAAATTTAAAATTCCACCTGACATGTGGAAGTAATGCAACAGCAGGTATTAATTTTTAGCCCCGCCCTCTAATGGCCGCCATCATTGGAAACTGGAGGCTCAGACCTTTCCATGGAGGGGTCAGAGGTCATCATGCGACCATTGCAGGGGAATGTAACCAGTATGCGGTTCATTAACTTGCTTTGGTATTTTTATTTTCTATTCAGTCTAGCGATATTATTGGTAAATTTCAATGAAACAACGGCTAAATCTTAGGAGCAAAGGCTTTGGCTGTTTCTCAATTCACAAGAACGCGAGTATGGACTCGCGTCCTCGCCAAGTATGTTCTTGACTAGAAGCCAGGAAAGTCTGGACTCAGGGAGAACTACTTAACACACGGCTATGCAGAGAGAGGGCTGATTCGGACGGGCTAACGTTAGCCCTGGCCGCTGCAGACGGGCTAACGTTAGCCCTGGCCATTGCTGACGGGCTAACGTTAGCCCTGGCCGCTGCAGACGGGCTAACGTTAGCCCTGGCCGCTGCAGACGGGCTAACGTTAGCCCTGGCCATTGCTGACGGGCTAACGTTAGCCCTGGCCGCTGCAGACGGGCTAACGTTAGCCTTGGCCGCTGCTGCAGACAGGCTAACGTTAGCCCTGGCCGCTGCAGACAGGCTAACGTTAGCCCTGGCCGCTGCAGACGGGCTAACGTTAGCCCCGGCTGGTGTTACCCTTGGAGGTCCGCTGGTTGCCACGGTCCTCTCAGTTTTTTTTTTATTACGCATTAAATCGGTAAATGTTCCATATACTGAAGCTTAAATTATAATATTCTCGCCTCAAATGATCTTAAAATGTACTTTTATTGAGCAACAGCAACAGAAAAGAGAACTTTTAAGTTAATCCTCTTAGCTCAGTGAGCGCTAACCTAGAAGCTGCTGCTGCCGCAGTGCATGCTGGGACAGCTGTCAGTCTGCAGGACGGACAAGTCTGCTCTGATGCATGCTGGGTAAAGAGGGAGTGGCCAGAAAAACATCCGGGGACTTTGTCCGTTCTCGGTCTGCTGTTCTAGGAAAATGGAACAGTGCTAGAGCTGAGGATGATGACGTTTCACCAGGACACGAGGACGCACAAGTACACAGATTGAGAAACGGCCATTGTCTCAACAGAAGGTCTCCAATAATGTAAATCGGCATATTTGTCTGACCAGAATCCCATTTAGGATTGGAAAAAAAAGCTTTTTTGCTATTTTAGCATTGTGCCAAAATCAGATTTCTGCCTAGCAAAACTGCCTCCTAAAACAAACATGCTTAAACTGATTCAGTCCAAATTAGCTGTAGTTACAGCCAAGATGTCCAGATCCAGAGTTTCAAATGCGCTTTGAAGTGTTTATTTTTGGAAAAAAATGGCAAGGCTAAATATTTAATATTTTTTCTTTGTTTAATCACTTATAAATCAGACATGGTGACATTTTAAATAGTGGTTCCACCTGAACAATATTCCTCCTTTCAATCATATCTCCAATTGATAGTTTGGGAGCAGAACTTGCTTTAATTCACATATTTAATTTCAGACCTCTGGGCTGAAGGGGTTAACTTAAACCTTTGAATCACAATATCCTGCTTCTGATTGCTGCGTTGATCCAGAGCTGGAGGTGCAGTGCAACGAGTTGCAGATGGGGAGGTTTGGGAAACCGGTGGATGTGGAAACTCTGCAGATGCTGACAGGGTGCAGGAGGGAGGAGGAGCTCAAACAGGAGAAGCTGCTCCTAGAAGCAGCTCAGGCCGAGGAGATGAAACTCTGGGATGTAAGTCCTCTCGCCATCAACTGTCCTTCCTGTTATTCATTAATAGAATCCTTTAAAACCAGCTGGATTGAATCTCTTCCCAGGAGAAGTTTGAGGAGGCAATGGAGGCTTTATCAGCATTGATGGAGACCAACGTTGAGCGTCTCTACGGCATGACGATCCTGAACGAGCAGCGGAAGGACCTGGATTTAAGATTCGACGCCTGACATGAGGTAAAGGTCATTTTCTCACACAAACTATTTATTCCAAATCAGATTCTAGAATCCATTAAAAGATTTGGCCCCAGGCTGATCAGAGTCATTAAAGTTGTAGGAAAATCATGTTTAAATGTCAAATCATTCTTGCTTAAACATGTGGAAATAAATGTACTCTTTATCAGAGGATATTGTCCCAAAATTGAGAAAATCCTGTCTTAAAACTTTTTTTTTCCGTTATCTTATCCAGGACAGTTAGTTCTACGTCAGCCTGAACACCTAAATTTGGCCAATCATATATCAACGGTCATCTGTCAATCTAATGTTTTTGGTCATAGCATCTTGATTCATATGTCGCAGCTAATATACGCAACGGTTGAAATCAGAATCCTTTCCTTTCCCATTGAGTTGCGTCCCAGTGTTCACGGGGATGGACGTCTGTGTCTTCGGCAGGCGTAGAGCTAACAGAACTGGCAGCGTTGCGAGGCAAGGGCTCAAACATGTACGGCTGGAAGCCTTCTACACCAAACCAAGCTTCTGCCGCCCTGGCGTCCTCTTCCACAACATCTTCGTCCCCGCTTTCCTCCTCTAAATAAAAAATGGATGACGGAGGAGAAACTCTCCTCCTCTTGCATGTTTCCTCTGTCCATAGCGTTCCTTGACAGCGTCGTTTCTAAGTCACCAATTTAGTGCTACTTGGTCCCAATGGAATTTCCCACTGGGAACCTGCTAGCACTAAGATGCTAACTGGTTAGCAAGATGCTGCCGACAAACCGGCCACAACCAAACTGGCTTGCAAACCTTCCGCCACAACAATCCTGCCCCCTTGATAAACGATCATTCACTTTATTCTCTTGTGTAAAGTCGGGCACCACTCGGTGCTATGACTCGGCTAAAACCGGCCAGTGGGATCAGCTAACTCCGTCAACGTGCCGCCCCGCTGTGCTCCAGGCCGTCTGTGCAAAGCAAAGCCTACAGCCTGTCGCTACCCGATCCGTAAGCACGATCAGTCCTGCTCATGTGCCATCAGCTCATTTGCGCATCCAGATATACATCCAGGTCGCCCTCCATTTTATTTTGTTAAAAAGACCTAAATGACAGGTCATCTCAGGTCACTTTCCAGTTCACCAGATTGTCCAGTCAGATTGATTCAAAGTTTTCTATCTAAGGAAAACCAGCTGATTGCATCGACTCATTGACTCTTCAGCAATCCCTCACACTAAGCATGCTTGTAGCGACAGTGGAGAGGAAAAACTCCCTTTGAACAGGAAGAAACCTCCAGCAGAACCAGGCTCAGTGTGAGCGGCCATCTGCTGAGGCCCACTGGGGTTCAAGGAGACAGAAGCAGACATAGAAAAAGAAGCATAGATACAAAAGGCATTTACATCCAATAATTTAATTAAACAATCTTAGTTTTTGGGAATATATAAGAATTATGCACTAATTTGTAGTAACCGATATGTTATTATATTTAAATTTGACAAACCGGATTTTCTCAACGTTCTTTTTTCCTTGGTGTGATTGGAATTGACCTGGTCAGACCAGAGCTGGGGCCTGTTTCAATAAGGAAGTTCAACCAACTCTGAGTTAAAACTTGAACTCTGAATTGACTTATCCTGAGATTGGAAACTCTGCGTTTTGGGTTTCAGAACAGCTGAAATGAGTTAGTTCAATCAACTCTAAATTGACTGACTCTGAGTTAAGCGTGTGCACCACAACTATAAAAAGCCATTATCAATGGAGCACAGATATTACGAGTCACCATGGCAACAGCGTCAGACAAAAAAAGGTGTGCATATTTCTCACCAGCAGAACTGGATGTGCTTATGCAAGCATATGCAGAATTTGAACATGTATTAAAAAAAAAAAAAGAGCAACACGGCTGCAGCGGCGAAGGAGAGAGAGCTAGCTTGGGTGAAAATAGCTGCTCGAGTCAATGCGTAAGTTTACATTTTAATTACTTTTATACAGTGTTGGGTGTAATGAATTAAGTTACTTAAGTCATATAAATACTGTAATTAAATTAAAGACTATAAAACAATAGTGGATTTAATATCAAATTTTAAAAGGTATATTTTGATTTGAACTTTCTCCCTCTAGTTACACACTTTGGTCAATTTAAGATTAATTCATGCAATTGAATATTGTTTATTTGAAGGCATTAGAAGTGCAGTTTCTTGTCTGTCCTTGTATTGTTCAAGTGGTTGAGGTTGATTTGGGATTTAGAAAGTAATTAATAAGTAAGTAAAACAAATTAGTAAGTAGACCAATACTTTCTAGAGACAGTAATTATTACATTAATCTAATTAGACTTGTTGAAGATAAAATTTGTAGTTAGTAATTAAGAACTATTTTAGAGTAACTTACCCAACTGTTATAATATCAGAGGTGAAACTGGAAGAACAGTATTTTATTAAACCTAATTTAGTTTTCATGGATAGGTGCAATCCTGCAGGCATCAAAAGAACATGGCAGCAGCTGAAAATGAAATATAAAAATATACTTCAAGCAGGTAAGCCTTGAGCACATCATGGGAGTAGAGTAGCTACCTGGCTTTACAAACAGGGTCATCCATTAAAGGACATGCCATTTCATTCCCTTTGATGCGCTCTACGTGACTGAAATGTGTGCAATGAATACTGTATGTCCCCAAAGAATCAATGAGGTGTTTAAACACCACTTCCTCTTTAAAAAAGGGGAGGAGACCAAAATAAACTCTGGATTTTCTGAAGAAAACCTGCTCCCGACCAGGTTAGGTTCACAGAGTAAATTGCCATGGTAACTGACTCTGAGTATAAGTTACCTCTCTTTCAGAAACGGGCTTGACTCACTCTGCTTTCTCAGGTTTAACTTACCTCCCTTTCTGAAACAGAAAACCCAGAGTTTCCCTCATTTCAGGGTTAACAAACTCAGAGTTTTCACTTAACCTCCTTTCTGAAACAGGCCCCAGAGCAAAAAATAGCTCGGCTCTGTGTTTTTACTGCGACAGACAGAGAAGACGGAAGTGGACGTTGACGTGCGAAGGAGTAGCGGTGGAATCAACTGGTTTTCCTTAGATAGAAAACTTTAAATAAGTCTGACTGGATGATCTGGTGAACCTTGAGATGACTTGTTGTGAATTGGCACTATAGAAATAAACTGATTGAAATTGGATGTGGAACTGCTCTCATTGATTATCATGACTGACAAGTAGTCCACACGACGTACGAGAGCAGGCAAAGTGGAGTTAGGATTGACCCCTGACCCTCACTGATCCAGCAATTCTTGCACAGCAGCCCAGTTGATGTCTGCTGAGATAAACCTAACCCATACAATCCTAGATTCAACCTTTGGGGGAGATGTTTGATCGATTGTTCCCATTTTTTGACATCCTGTTCGTGTTTCTCCAGGATGCAGAGCAATTCCAGGACCAGAGTGAGCATATGGAAGAGGAAGTGATGGAGCAGCTCCAGGAGCTGGTGAACATATAATCATAGCAGACCCTGAAGGAGAAAACCTGCTGCCCCACACCTGTCCCATCCTGCTTCAGATATCTCAAATGGCCACGCCCCCCAACACTGGCAGACCCAGGAGGGAGGAGCCTCCAACACCTTTCCAGCAGATGAAAAATCCACTGCAGCTAAAGTTACTTCATTAAAATTAGAAATGAACAAATTGAGAGACGTTGATTTTTTTCCTCTAATCTAATTTATTTCAGATTTTTATTCAAAAATTGCCAAAATATTTTGGAAAAAGGAACTTTAAATCTGAAATGATTCCATCCTGTTCAATAAATGGTAAGTGTTTTTCATAAGAGTAATTTTCATGTGAATGTGCTTTACTGGAGGCATCCATGTTTGTCAAAGAACACTACTGCCACCTACTGGTTTGTGACGTCACGGTGCGGTATCGGCTGTTGATCAAGTCCCAGTGCTGTATCTGGTGTTTGTCACAACGCGCTATTATCCAAGTCATCTTGAAAACATTCTTCTTCCAAATGTTGGCTACATATTACGGGTTTTTTCTCTGGCCAGAAGTTCGATGGCAAATCCTCCCTCTTCAAGTTGGCGATCCAACGACCAACCCGTCCGTGGAGGATCAGGAATCAGAAAGGTGGAATAACACTTTTTTCCACTTTTACCCGATGTATTCCAGCATCCAGCTGCCATGCACGTGGTTATTGTCAGTTTCACTATAGCTCTGGTGAATTTCAATGGTGAAGTCCTCTGGAAATCTTCAATAATTGTTGTTGATTGCAGATGTGTCTAGTAGTTCCCATTGATTTAGCTTGTAAAGCGGGGAGAATGGCGCTAGGCTTACCGCACCGTGACGTCACTGCTGGAAGATAGCAGGAGGGAGGTGTTATTATTTTTCGGCAAAAATGGTTGCTCCCACACTCAGAGATCATGACGAAAATTATTGTTTTTATTTTTTTACTGATTATTGCTAAAGTTATTAAATCACTGCAAACATATTAGTTTTAGGTATAAATAATGATCCATGATTATTCCTTGTTGACCACAGCACTTCTTTTGGTTGTAGCTTCTCATAAAATGATGGAGATAAAAACTCCTTTAAATTAGTAAAACTTTGTTTTACATAATGGCCCCTAAACTTATCTTCCTGCCTCCCCCTTTGGTTTTCCTCAGTTTTCCACCACAGACCAACCATTTCAACAGCTGGAAAAAACAAAGTCAACTGCAGTAAATTACATTTTTACAAGAATATAAACTAAAATCTTCTTAAAACTAAAGTAAAGACAAAATCAACCAAGAAATACTCTGAAATAAGCAAGAGAAAAGACTAGAAAACAACTGACAAAAACAGGTAAACACACCAAAACTAGTGTAGCAAACCGCTAACGGCTTAAATAACAGAACATGGAAAAATGTGATTAGAAAATCTAAAAACAACCTTAAGGAAAAATAAAGCAACTAAATTATTACAATATACAGAAAGAAATCTAAGAAAGTCTAAACAATGAAAGCAGATCAGGAGTTCCCAAACATTTCAACCATTGACCTCAAACATTGACCTCCCTAAAAAATACACCTTTATTTATTAATATAGAGGGAATTATCTACATTTACTGTTTAATTTAAACATTTTCCATTACTTTTTTACTTATCATTTTGAATGTAATTTTTATTATTCAATAGGAAATGTTTTTATTAGATTATTAAAATTTAATGTTAATCATAAATTCCTTAGTATGCATATATTTATTTTACGATTTTAGCCCTGTAACGTCCTTATCATGAGCTATAGTTCTGCTGCTATAGGCTTAGACTGCTGGAGGACATAGGGACCCCTTTTTCATCATTCTGCTTCATTCTATCTCTATTCTCCCACTCTGCAGAATCTGTTAGTTCAATCTCTAACGTTCTGCTCTCTCTGCTTTTTCTCATAGTAGCTTCATCTGGTCTGTTCCTGTTTGGCTGTGACTCCATCCTGGAGAGAAATATCAGCTGTGCTGCTGCCATCAACACCTTTGTTTCTAGATGTTGGAGCTTGGCCTGTTTTCCAGTGTAGTCCTGTTTCTCTGACTGTGACTAACTGGATGTGCTCTCTTCATCCTCTGACATGGGAGCTGGCTCGGAGCTCGTCTGCCTGGCTGTGTGTTTCCTGGACGGGGCCGCCTGTGGAGCTGGTTGACAGTTGCCTTTTGTATCTAACTCAGAGTTGGTTGAACTTCCTTATTGAAACAGGCCCCAGCTCTGGTCTGACCAGGTCAATTCCAATCACACCAAGGAAAAAAGAACGTTGAGAAAATCCGGTTTGTCAAATTTAAATATAATAACATATCGGTTACTACAAATTAGTGCATAATTCTTATATATTCCCAAAAACTAAGATTGTTTAATTAAATTATTGGATGTAAATGCCTTTTGTATCTATGCTTCTTTTTCTATGTCTGCTTCTGTCTCCTTGAACCCCAGTGGGCCTCAGCAGATGGCCGCTCACACTGAGCCTGGTTCTGCTGGAGGTTTCTTCCTGTTCAAAGGGAGTTTTTCCTCTCCACTGCAGTGTTTTTCCTCTCCACTGGCATGCTTAGTGTGAGGGATTGCTGAAGAGTCAATGAGTCGATGCAATCAGCTGGTTTTCCTTAGATAGAAAACTTTGAATCAATCTGACTGGATGATCTGGTTGAACTGGAAAGTGACCTGAGATGACATGATGTGAATTGGAGCTATAGAAATAAACTGAATTGAAATACATCTAAATCTAAACAAGCTAAACTGTCCAGCAGCTGCATTAAGAACCATGGACAGCGCCTCCCATAGTGTTGGGAATCAGCTGAACCTTTAGATCCAGAGTATCTTTGTCCAGGTCAGAACAGATCTGCTGGTGTTAAAGTGTTCATGATGGCAAACTCCTTTCCATCTAATTTATTTCTACATTATCTCACAAATAAGAAAGGAAACTAGCAGCTGAACCCACTTCCTTCTCAAAAACTAGAATAAAAAAGCAGCTTTTCTCTTTCTGAGAAGCTCTGCAGGATTCAGGTTTGGAGACAACATCTAAAAGCAGCGAACTCTGCTCTCCAGAGCGAGTAGATTGGTAACCCCGCCTCCTGCTCTCCTCTATCTTGTCTGCTGTCATGATTCATGCAGCTATTATTTCATCCAAATGAAAAATGGAGAACAGATAAGCAGATCATGGCTTGTCTACAGTGAAAAGAAGGACTGGGTTATTTACTTTGGCCTTTTTGGAAACACAGGAAGGAGCAATCAGCTAAGTGAGCTTAGTGCTTGGAAAAAATCTTTCATTCCTTTAGAGACAGCATGAAAAGTCAGCTGAGTACAAAACATAGAGAGGAAAACAAGAAGAAAAGGGACAAGAAGAGAGGGACACAACCTAGAACAGATAATGAGGGCCCCCTGTCTGTCTTTGCCTAGGGCCCCAAATTTCCTAACTCCGCCCCTGACCAAGAACTCAAATCATCAACTTTAATCTTTTTATTTACATTTATTTACATCAGGTTTTACAGTAATCACAGAGGGGGAGCAGGGGGCTCTGAGTTCCGCCCACTGCATCGATGACTCCATCATCGGACAGCAGCCCGCCGCTCACAGCGCCGCCAGCTCCCGCAGCAGCCGCTCCTTCTCCCGCTGCAGCTCCGTGACGCTCTGCCGGTTGTGCTGCAGCCGGTCCTCCAGCCACTGCAGCAGCGGGCCGCTCACGGCCGACATCTGGCTGCACAGGTTCTTGGTGAACACCGAGCCGTTGTGGATCTTGGTGACCGGGTCCAGGTGGGCCAGCCCGTGGATCCTGCGGTACGTGTCCTGCTCCTCCTGACACAGGATCCGCGGCAGTTCCACGGCGGACTCCAGACACGCCTTCCCGATCGCCTCCCGGGGCACCACGTGCACAGGTATCTCCACGCGCTCGTATTCGGAGCCCTTCTGCGCCTGCGCGGACTGGAAGCAGGTGTAGAGGACGCGGCCCGTCCGGGTGTTCTTGTCCTCGATGAAACAGGAGAAGATGAGTCCCACGAAGCCCTGGTCCAGCATCTGGTACATGGCCTGGGTCCGCACGTCCACGTGGGAGGGCCAGACGGTGATGTGCGGGTGGGAGTGGTACCAGCCCACCACCCGCATGGGTCTGCCGGTGCTGTCCGCCAGCCGCTCCGCCTCGGTGGAGGCGGCGGACAGCTGCTCCGGGGAGATCTCCACCCGGTCCTTCCGCTTGTCGGAGCGGCGGAGGATGATCACCGAGTGGATGTGGACGATCCGGGAGGCCTCCACCTCCCCGATGCACAGACCCATCACCTCCTCCTTCTCGGTGCTCAGGGCGTGGTTCATGCAGACCAGGAAGGCGTCAGACTCCAGGTGGACGGAGCTGACGGCCATAGTTACCCGAAAGAAGAAGGTTCTGGTGCCGAGAAGAGAAAAACAAACAGCGGAGACCGGATACAGCTTTACTTCCTGCTTCCTTCCTCTGCCGGTGGCACCAGCGCGCCTGAGCGCCCCCCACTGGTCCGGAATGGTCCTGCAGGCTTCTGCTCTGATTTATTTTTTCTTTCTATGGAGGGAATTCTGTTACAAAAAACCCCCAAAACAAAAAAGGTTATTAAAGGAAAAATTCGCACATATTCAGAATTGAAACTTCTGAAAGTACTTTAAATATGAAATCATTACATACTGTTTAATAAATTATTATTTTCCTTTTTAGATTGGGGATTTGCAAACAATTTACAGGTGCATACCGCCACCTACTGTACATTAGTATGTAGCTCTATAGTTCTACCTACTATGTTCTATTTTTTATTTTTGTGTTATGTAAAATTAAAAACAATGTTTTATCAATAACCAAAATCTCCACCTGTCCCTAAAATTTCTATAATATTCCATTCTCTCCCTTTTTCCATAATTACTTTCCTCATCCTCTCTCTTTCAGTTGCATACCGTAAATCCTCTAATATTGGCCTGTATTCCGTTAGCAGCCGGGTCTCTAATAATGGCCTGTCTGGGTGTCGGAGTAGGTAAATAATAGCCGGACTCTTATACAGGCTTGGGCTATAATTAGAACCAAAAATGTTTGTGGGTAGTCCTCAACAACTTGTGATAGTAACATACAAGTACCACAGGGGGGCAAAGGTGGGCTAACAAATCCATGAACCTAGTATTTTATAGGTTCAAAGAGACACAAAATCTCGTTTTTATTCATTGTACAATTAGTCTGTTTT